GTAGGACTTGTGCTTTGTTTTGAGATTCATTAAAGTTTCGGCTAAGTGCGTCTACATGTTGCATCTGAGTACCTGCTTTATGGTGAATGGTAAAAGAAAACTCTTGTAAAGACAAGACCCATCTAGCAATTCTTGGAACTATCGACTGCTTAGATAATGCGTTCTTTACCGCATTGCAATCAGTAAAAATTTGGAACTGATAGCCTACTAAATAAAATCTGAACCGTTCCAAAGTTTTGACTATTGCTAATAGTTCCAACTCAAAAGAATGATAATTTTTCTCAGCGGTATTAGTTTGCCTACTGAAATACGCTATTGGTCTCTCTTTACCATCTGTACTTTGCATCAAAATTCCTGCAAAACCATCATGACTAGCATCCGTATATACGGTTGTCAGTGCTTTTGGATTAAATATTGCCAAAATAGGTTCTGCACAAATTTTGGCTTTTAAATCTTTGACTATTTGTGTGTGAACTTCTGTCCAAGACCACCGACTTCCTTTCTTTAATAGCTTCGTCAATGGGGCGGTAATTCGCGCAAAATCTTTTAAGAACTTCCGAAAATAGCCGACGAGACCCAAGAACTGTCTCAGTTGATGTTGTGTCTTAGGACAAGGAAATTGTTCCACCGCTTCAATTTTCAGGTTGGATGGTGATATTTGATTGTATGAGATTTGATATCCTAGATAAACTATCTTCTCTGTAAGAAAAGAACACTTTTCGATTTTTATTACAATACCATACTCCTGTACAATTTTCAGTACCTTAGGCAATAAATCTAACCCCTCCTCTATAGTCTTTGACGGTATTAAGATGTCGTCCAAATAAGGAACCACATTAAATTTTCTTAAAGGCATAAGGATTTCATTCATAAATTTCTGAAATACCAATGGGGCATTACAAAGCCCAAACGGCATACGAACGTACTCAAAATGCCCTTCAGGTGTTATGAACGCTGTATACTTCATTGAAGCAGGCTCCATCGGTATTTGATGGTAACCTGATGCTAGGTCAAGCGAGGTAAAATACTTGTAATCACTCAAATTATCAATAATTTCTTCGATTAATGGCATTGGAAAATTATTTTTAACAGTTATTTTGTTTAGCGCCCTGTAATCGACAACTAGTCGTTTGTCATTAGTTCCTTTATTGACCAGAAGAGCAGGACTGGCATATGGTGAATTACTTTCACGTATGATTTTAGCCTCCAAAAGTTCCTGTACCTTACCTCTCATGATTTGTTTTTCTATCTCTGCTAATCGATAGGCCTTATGAGTGACTGGTTTGTCATTGACCAACTCTATTTTTAATGAAACAGAGTGTGCCTTCCCCAAATTATTCAAATTCAAAAATATACAACCTTGATATTGAATTAGAATATCCTGCAGAGTCTTATTATCTTGTTCTGACAACACCCCTGTTTTGACATTTTGCAACCACTGTGGCTTTTTGTCCTTTATTTTGAATATCAACTTGTCATCTATACGATAATACATAATAGTATTATTTTCTGTGAAATTTCTCCCAACAAGAACATCATTGTCTACACTTTCATTAGAAACCACATAAAATTTTGTATTAAGTTTCACCTGATCAATTTGGGTCATTACCTCAACAAATTGCGTAACAACAGTCCCTATACCCATAAATCCTGACAATGTTACCTTCTCCCCAAGAGGTTTCAACGTTAACCCTAGCTCCTGCACTATTGCCAATTTTATTAGAGAACAATCACTACCAAAATCCACAAAAGCTTCTATTAAATTCCCATCAAGAAATATTTTTTTGAAAAATTTTGAAGCACTATTCTGACTTTTAATTAATTTGACCTGTTCAATTTTTGTTTTACTTTTGAAGACTTAGTTGAATTATTCCATCTGCCTGGTTCACTTGAGTTCTTTCGTTTCTTGAAACAATTCACCTCAATATGCCCCTTAATTCTGCAAAAATTGCATATCTTATTTCTATGTTTACAATCATTCCGCTCGTGACCTCTGTTGCCACATGTGGTGCAATTTACATTTTGATGTATCGTACTTGACCGGACTATATTGTCAGATGCTCCCAATCGACCACTTTGATTGATTGACTGTTGCACCTCTGATTTTAACGGTTTGCCCCTACCAGTATAAGTTTTGTTCTTCAGATATGCCGCCAAAATATGAGGATTTCGAATATTTGCTGCCTCCACAGCTGATGTTATATTAACGTCATTTATAGCACCTATAATTAATGATACCTTGTCACAATCTGAAAATCCTACTCGTAACTTATTTATTCTCGCTATGTGTTCAAAACAAAAATCATATAACGAACAACCTTCGCTGGGTCTATGATTTACCATTTCCATCAACAGTTGATAAGCATTACGTGTACTCTGGAATGTATTTTTCAATATATCCTCCCACTGGCCCCAAGCATAACTAGACCACCCCAAGTCACCCTGAATGAAACTGTCATACCAGGTTTTGGCTGTACCCTTGAGTTTATTCAAAGCATGACACTTAATAAGGCTATCAGGCCACTTGTAAATATCTGCATTATATTTGATAACCTCTAACCACTCTGATATGTCATTAATTTTCGGATCAAATTCTGGAATTACCATCGAAATATGTATTCCCTGATCGGCCCTCGTAAAAGTAGAATAATGTTCGCTACTCACGGTTTCCCTTGACTTACACCTGGATCTCTTATGTTTATGCCCATTACTATTGCTAGAACTGCCGGAAGAACTACTGGTTGTTGAAGACGAGGAAGGTTCTCTTCTACTTCGTTTTCTAGATTTCCTTTGCTTTTGCTTTGGCATCTTGTCCAATCTCTGAGCAAACAACAGCCTGCAGAATATTTGCTAAAATTGGGAACCACCGTAAAACACACACTTCTGGACCGGTATTCTCGTTCTTTGGCGTGAAAGCGATACGTTTTCAAAACGCTTAGCGCCTCATGTCGTACGGCAAAGCGCTAAGCCTTCGGTTTTGGTATTCACGTTGCTGTGCGAACGCTTCGGGTTCAAAACGCTTGGCACATATTGGCAACGGTGGTTGTTCCAGTGTTACCAACATATTTGTCTCCAATGTCACCAATGTTATATAACCACAGTACTAAAAAAGTTTCTATTTCTGGCATTATGATGGTTGTCACTTGTCAGATGCGTTTTGTCAGTGTCACTCGAGTTTCGAAATGTCTCGTAAACAAATTTCCATTTTACAAAAAACTATGCTAATTGATTTCCTGGAAGACCACCCGGAATTGGTGTCTCAAAAACAAACCAATACACCAGCGCAGACGCCCGCAAGTTATGGGTGGAGTTGAGCGAAAAGTTAAATGCAATTCCTGGGGCCACTAAGCAATGGACTGAATGGAGAAAGGTACATGTAACATATTTGCAACTTTGTATTGAATTAATATGCTATTGACGGACATAGATCCATAGTTAGGAATGGTACTTCTGTTGTAATAACGAATTCACTAGAATACTAGGATCTATCGTTAAAACACGGCAATAGAGACTCGAGTCAGTTTGATTGTTACTCAGAATATTTGTTGTATATGAAGAGGGTCGGTTTTTAATACTCCAGTTTTCCTTTTCTAGACCTGGACAGATATGAAAACCAGAGCAAAAAGGAAGAAGTCAGAAAATAAAAAGGAAGCTAGCCAGACCGGAGGTGGACCAAGCTCGGCAGAGAGCTTGAATGAAATCGATGACAAAGTCTTGGAAATAATGGGTATGGTCATAATTCTTATATGGGTGACTAATATTTTAGTCATTCGTTAAATGTTTTTATTAGATGACAGTTTTTCTGTTAATATTGATACTCAAAGTATGGATCTACTGTGATTTAAGTGTTGATGAGATTTATTATTCATTTAAACAATGTAAATGATCTACATAGTTGTGCCTATCTTGCTCCATTGTAGTATCTCCATTACTTTCAGTAAATGTAAAAGCTCTTTTGTATTCTAGGGGGAGAAATCTTAATTGAAGGGCTCCAAGTGCCAGAATTAGGATTATTATACACCTTACCGAAAGAAGCTGAGATTGGCGAAGTGCCTGTATGCAAAAGTTATCCTGTACATGATAATGATGACAAGGACAAGGAAAACCTGTGTCCAAATAATATTAAAGAAAAGAACCTTAAACGCGTGAGACCACCACATGGCACTAAAAGGTGTAGGCAGACAAATTCAATACCATCATCAGTCCAGGCCGCGAACGATTTAGTTGCAGCACAACTGCAACTAAATCAAATAAAGGAAAATTATTATAAAAAAAAATTGAAGTTTTAGAAAGAATTGCTTCTAGTTCAGAAACAATTGCTAAAAAATATGCATCATAGCTTCTTTTGTTTGTTTTTGTCTGTATTTTTATTTTATATATTTTTTATGATCAGAGTATAAGGTTTTGTTGTGATGAGATGTGTGGTATAGTTAAAAATAAAGTTATCTTTGTTCTAGACTACTCTTTTATTGTGATAAATATACTATAGTGTATCCATTCATTTATTTCAAAAATAAGTTCTCGCTAGGAAATTTCGTATGTGTCGACCCCTCTCCAAAAAATTATTATGTGGCAAGTTACCCCTCTCTTCTGCCAAGGCGTCACTGAAGTTGTTACCATCACCTACATCTTCCTGATCATTATATAATGGAATATTATTTTCTAAGCATAAGTTGTGCAACACGGCACAACTGTTTACGATTTTTGCACAAGTTTCTGGTGCATAATGTAAAATTCTATCTTTCAGTAGACACCTAAATCTGTTTTTTAATAACCCAAAGCATTGTTCTATGGAAACCCGGATATGCTTAATTTTTTTATTGAACCTTGATTCTGGAGTGTCTTGAGGTGGTTCTGGTAGGTAAGGGGTTATCAACCAGGGGCGTAGAGGGTATCCAGAGTCACCTTAAAAGAAAATACTATCTTTTAGTAGATCCAAGGGTACAACATATAGACATATTTCACCTAGTAAGTAGAAGCTGCCCATATATTCTTCAGACAATGTTCTCAAAAATTCCCCGACTCGTGACTGACTCCATATAAAACTATCATGGGTGCTGCCAGGAAAGCGACTGTTTACGTTCATTATTTTCAAATTTTCATCACATATCTGCAATAAACAAGTGTCAAGTATGCAGGTTGACTTTGGTGCAAAATTTCAGTTGTAATCTATGCAGAGTCAGAGAAAATTTGATTAGGGGTTGACGCTTTGTGCATTGAAAGTTTCTTTATATGAGAAATTAGAATTATTCCATGCATTTATGGATGTAAGGGTAGCTTACCATCTGTACATTGAGGGAATGGTAATGTTTCCTATTGATATATATATGTTCATTTTCGATTGGGCACACAATACCTATGTGAGTGCAATCAATACAGCCTATAATTCCAGGTACCTGGTACTTTGCGAAAAATCTAGACAAAATAAAATCAATATAGGTACAGCTTGACCATCAAATTTTGATCATCTTATTGAATAGCTTTGAAGAAACATAGTGTAGGACAACATCATGATAGTTCCTCATATATATTTATAATTCTAAATTGAAATATACCTTTCTCTGGTGTTGGTTAACTCTTGAATTGTGTTTGGAAAATGGACATATCTATTCAATATTTCTGGAGTGTTGAATGCTCCCAACACCTCATGTAAAGTTCTTGAAATCGATGGCTGGCTGAGAGTTACTGTATGATTTCTGCCTACATCCAGCTGGTAGCTTCCACTTGCAAAGAAACGCAAGGCAGACAGTATCTAAAACATTAATGTACACTAGGTTGTTATAATGCAAATATCACTATTTTATCAATCGTATATATACAACGACGATGAAAAGACCTAGACCTTTCTATTTACACTAAAACGCGTTGAAAGGATAAATATTAGGGAATTGCAATGTTGCCAGTTACTAGCTGATAGAATTCCTAACCTGGTAGTAAACAAACCTCAAACAAATATTTCATCGTGTAAACCAGCTATTTGGACTCATGAAAATAATAAAATTGTTAACATTCTTGAAAATCTGCATAAGCAATAGTGAAAAGTAGAAAAGTGAACTATTTTCGTATTGAATTTACCGTTAGCGAATTGGAAAGAGATTTCCTTCAGTCACAGAGCTTCAGTCGACATTGGCAACGTCGCATTTTTCTTATGAATGGACATTTTACGATAGTATAAAGTGCGTATTTTATGCTTGAGTTGTGGATTTTCACAAATCATTATTTTTGTGCTATTTGCCATAAGTTTGTTAGTGATATTGAACTGTTACCTGTTGAACAATGGTGCGATCGTGTTATGTGTGCAAGATAAACAGCAGTAATCCAGAATCGGCCAATTTATCATTCCATCGGTAAGTAAGGTTATGTTTTCATATCATAGGCGTGGCAATACAAATTTTACTGAAAAAATTATCATAAAACAGTCTTTTACCATCATTTTAGTAACTTTTTGTAGCTTCCCGACGAGTTTATATGAATATATATCCATCACTAGCAGTATGATACAATTTAAAGATGTTCTGGGTGTAGTTCATCAAGTACAAAAATATCCACATACACAATCTTCATGCAACTTAAGTAAACGTGAGTTTGCCATGATTTGATTATATTTTTGTGCTAACTAGTTTATAATCATTAGACAGATCATTGGTGTAAGACATGTGTTTACAATTTTAGACTCCCATCTGACCCAGCAAAGTGCATTTTATGGATTTCACTGCTTGGCATTGACTGGGAGAAAACGTTGCCGAAAGTGGCACTGATATGCAGCAAACATTTTCATGATAGGGACTTTGAATATGATTCTGCTGGAAGAAGGCTTTTGAAGGATGGTGCTGAACCAGTAGATGTTCGCTCCATACATGATGAGCAGGAGTATGCAAGGTAAATATGTTTGTTACTTTTTTGAGTTTTTTTGACATGCTATTAATAGCATACAGATACATTTGCCCTATATATTCATATTGATTAATATTTACTCAGCATTTCTATTATCTAAAGTTTGAAGAATTAAAAATGTGTCAAGATTATACTTGTACTTTACTCTAGACTCTAGCCCTGTAAATATTTACTTTGTTATTGTATCCATAAGTATCTTAAACAAACATTATTATTCCAGCTCTGATTCAACAGTGACACTTACTCCATCAAAGGAATCAAGCTCAGAAGCCCATAGCAGTCAAGGGAGCCCTGTCAGAAAGCGGTGAGTAGAGTTCTATACGGACTTGAACTATTCTCATATAATAAGCTTATACTACATATTATTATCAAAATAAACAGATTGGCACAGTAAAATAAGTCAGTGCCTGTGTGCTTCAAGTGTGCTTTAATAAATGCAATTCATACATTCAAGTACATTACCAAACAATTATTGTCAAAACTTATCTAAATAGTATCATGTGTATGTCAAAGGATTTTGGTTGTTTACATGTGTTATGTCCAGTATTTTATGTATACCTTTTATTTTAGATTGAGAATGGAAGAGTTAGCTATACCAGGGCCTTCCCATGTGGTGTGAGTATTCTCTTAATCTAAACCATTTCATTTACTCATGTAGAAAATATTTTAGCTCAAGTCATATTCCTTTTCCTGATGAAACTTCTAAGATGGTAGAGCCTCCAGAAATTTTGCAGTCATTCACATCATCCAGTACTGCAACTGCTTCTGAACAGGAGTATCAATTGGCAATTAGAGGCAATGTCACCAAACGAAATGTCAGAACACCACGTAAAAGAAGGTATTTGAGGGAGACAAGAACTTGTTTCTTACTAGCTATTTTGTATCAAGATGAAATGATATATAATATTATTTAATGAATAAAGTATATAGTTGACACATTTATCCTTTTCAGGCTAAAACGTTATGTTGGAGATTTATCAAGTGATGACTTTTCCACTCCCAGAAAATCAAAGTCAAATTATCGGTTGATGAAAAGTTCCCTAATGACATTGAGGAAAAAAGTAAAAAGTCTCCAAACAAGTGTTGCTGCTTTGAGGAGAAGAATAAAAACTCTAAGTGGCTTATTGAAACTTTTGAAGCAGAAGAATCACATAACAGATTCAGCTGAAACTGTATTGAAGGTAAGCAGATTGATGAAGACTGTGTGTCCCAGATACCCGAATTCATTTGAATGGAGCAATTGATCAACTTTTTTTTTCAATATAATAATTTTCATTACAACACACACACACAACACTCAACATACCATAACTGGTCAGAAGACCAGTTGTAATCTTGCTCATTGAAAATAAGCATTATCATCTTATCACTTTTGCACATATAGCTCCATGATTTTTTTCTTTTAATTATAGCATTTGATATTCATTTTTTAATCGTATTTTGTTTATTTTGACTAATACTTGTTACAACAAGTATACATATCGTCATCTAACCACAGCAGGTCATGAGACTGGTTATGGTAGAAATAGAATTGAGTATGGGTATGTTCAGTGTTAATATCTTAGTTTCCTGATGTTATTTATCTTGCATAAATGTAATTAATACTAGTTTTAAAATACTCATTCTGTTCAGATTACATGATTTAATTGCATTCTAAATACTTAATATCTCTTTTAGGCATCTCTTTCAGGTATGCCTTTGGAAATCTTTGAAAGAATGTTGAGGGGGCGTACTAGCCAGAAATATAACCCTGCCTTGCGGTCATTTGCCCTCACGCTGAGCTTTTATTCCCCAAGAGCATACAATTTTGTGAGGAAGACATTTAACCTTGCTCTACCCCATCTGTCAACAATAAGCAAATGGTATAAGTCGATTGATGGTTCACCAGGCTTCACTGAGTAATCCATTGTGGCCTTGAAATTAAAACAAGGAGAAGCTTCAACCAAAAACTCTACTGTTATGTGTAATTTAGTCCTAGATGAGATGTCTATTCGGAAACAAGTTGAATGGACAGGGAGTAAGTTCACGGGGTATGTTGATATTGGGGCTAACATAGAATCAGACGTTCTACCAGAAGCAAAGGAGGTGTTGGTTTTTATGTTAGTATGCTTGAATGGAGCATGGAAAATTCCGGTGGGTTACTTTCTGTTGGATGGCTTGACTGGTTATGAAAAGGCAGAACTCGTGAAAAAATGCCTAACCTTCATCCACACTTCTGGAGTTACTGTAGCATCATTAACATTCGATGGTGCTCCAGTAAATTTCACAATGGCTTCTTGTCTAGGGACAAATCTGAACGATGTAACAAACTTGAAGACTTATTTTCTCCATCCTATAACGGGTCAAAATGTATACATATTCCTAGACCCAAGCCACATGATAAAATTAGTCAGAAACGCTTTTGGTTCCATCAAATACTTAGGTGATTCTGAAAACAATCAGATAAGTTGGGATTATTTGGTGAAGTTAGTTGATGTGCAAAATATCGAAGGTTTACATTTAGGCACAAAAATAAGAAATCGTCATCTACAGTGGACGAGAGAAAAAATGAGGGTCAAAATAGCTACACAAACTTTAAGTAGAAGTGTTGCTGATGCTTTGACCTATTTATCCAAAGATTTAAAACTAGCGACGTTTGCTAATGTGGAAGGTACCGTAAAATTTGTTCAAACATTTAACGATATTTTTGATATTTTCAACTCTAGAAACAGGTTTTCAAAGTACCTATTTAAGCGCCCACTTTCTCCAGCTACTGCAGATACATTTTTCAAATTCATGGACGAGGCAGTTCAATATATCCATGGATTGCGACTAGGTACTCTCCCAATAATACATTCTCCAAAAAAAAACTGGTTTTTTAGGATTTTTGATTTGCATTCAGAGCTTGAAACAGTTTTATAACTTGTGTATTGCAGAAAAGAAAGTTTTAAAATATATTTTGACAAATAAATTATCACAGGATCATTTAGAGCTTTTTTTTGGAGCTATTCGTAGTAAAGGAGGGTACAACAATAATCCCAGTGCAAGGCAGTTTGAAGCTGCATACAAACGATTGCTGGTGCATACAGAGATATCTGGCCCAGACACAGGAAATGTTGATAACCCAGAGCGTTTGACTATCTTATCTTGTGGCAGTGGATATCATATAACCAGGGCGGACGATGGTGAAGATCTTTTAAATAGCCCAGAATTACTTCAGTTTGAAGAAAAAATAAAAAACGATCTTGCCCTTTACCAGTGCACACCTTTTGCATGGAATCTTACAATTTATACAGAAGATGTTGTTTCATACATTGCAGGGTTTGTGGTGAATTGTTTAAAAAAATGTGTTACTTGTATAAATTGTAAGAATTCTTTAGAGGGCGATATTGACATGCCATTGCAAAAAAGAAAAGTTTATGGAGAATTGACAAAAGCCTCAGGACCAGTTATTCAAATTTGCCGTCATGGTGAAAAATACTTTCGTTTCTTCCAAAAGACAACTAATATCTTTAACAACAATATCAAACATCTCTCGGATATTCTAGTCAATAATACCATACAATCAATATCACCACATATTTTGGGGTATTTTGAACACCACCTTCTTGAAGATGACCCTATTGATGGGCACTGCATATTTCTGATAAAACTGATTTTGAAAAAGTATTTCTCACTCAGAATTCATCACGAAACTGTGAAAAAATCGGACAGTTTAAAAAAAACAGAATTAGAAGTGTATATACGAAGGCAGTATTATTCAGCCATCAGTAAGATTTTTTTCTTTGTTGTATCTCTCGTAATTTTTTGGATTCTATGATATGATTCTAAGGTTGAGAAGTATTTTTAAATTATGTACATTTTTGTAGACCTGTAGGTGGCAGAAGTTCAAGCTTTGTTTTTCCCAAAATGCATAGCTAATTAGTAGATTTTTAATTTTCTGGCGACACTGATCGTGTATGTATAGGTCGAATACATTTCAGCTGTTTCGCATGTAATTGAAATAATTCAAGATTCCGCAATTTCTACCAATACACAGTAAAATGGAAATATCCCGACTGCATGTATTGTTTTTTTTTTCGTATTTCATGTTATAAATGGATACATAAGCTATCTTATAAAATTAATTTGCTATACAAATTTCTCAACACGATTACTACAACACTTTAGGTAACACCCCAAGATTGAATGAATTATTTACAATTATGCTTAATGTGTTGATGTATATATTTTTGATTATATTATATGTAATTAGATTTTATATAAAGTTACCTTTATATATATATATATATATATATATATATATATATATAACTCGCATATTTTCCTTTAATTATGCTATAACTGAGACCTCGTAGATGAATGTCAGACGTTCATTCCATACTGTGATCCGTACGTCAGTATTTACTGATAGATTTCCTTCCGGATCGATGGAATGATTGAATTTCCACATAACCTTATGCAACAATAAAACATGGCATCAATACGCTAGGCTAGACGTTCAATGAATACGACCACATTCCTTGGAAAATACTAACGGATCAGAGTATGAAATGAACGTCTGACATTCGCTTTATAATACTGGCAAAGTAGTACTAATAAGATTTAGAGTGTTTGTTCTTATACTGTTCTTTACTATTATACAAGGAATGGCCTATGATGATTTTGTACCCATTGTTAAATTGGCGAGTGTGAAGTAGCTGCTTGAAGCAACTCTTGTAATTTATGATTTTGTAAAAATGTCAAAATAAAAAGTGTTCCCATTTCACAGTTTGATTTGTTTTAAAAAAATATCTTATTAAAATGGATGGCGATCAAAACTGTTCAATCCAACTCTAATTTTTAAGTAAATATTGGAAACACATTGGTCAAGTATACCGTCTCTAATCTAGAGGCACCTCTGTCAAAATCCATCAAACCGTTCAAGCTGCAGCCTTGGAAATATGAATTTCAAGGTTGATTATTTTATTAATATTCGCCATTTTGTTTCAATGAAATTTTAATATACCCAGTATCACTCATACTGCTAGGACGAATCCGAATACCAAAATCCAACAAGCATTTGAGCCCGTGAAACAGAATTTTTGGATATATACATACAAACCAAAAAACATGTGAAACATATTCCTCCTGAGGCAGTCGGGTTAATAAATGTATAAAGCTCATCAGTTTTCAGAGCCTCGTCTGTCGCTGGCGACACTATCATGATTGGTCTGAGTGCATGTGACGTCCGGTTTGATTCATAGTCCTAGTTTTGACCGTTTCTTGTTGTGTTTATGTACACTTATATTTAATTGTACTTCGACGCTATATTTCGGCTTGCATATTCATAATTAGCATAAACAATGTATTTGAGTGACAAATTATTCCATTCCATTATGCATAATACTTTTACATTCATTGAAGTGCCCAAAAACTCCACAAAAATCGATTTCTAGCTATAGCTCTATTACCCCGATTATGATACGCCCATGGCAGTTGACGACTGTCCGCCATTTTCCTCCAGCTGTATATAGTTTTCTGTTGTTTATCTTGTCAACGTTCAGATAGACGTTTTATGAATGAATGTAAATGTCTAGGTCTTTTCATCGTCGTTGTATATATAAGATTTTTTGTCAATCTTGGAAGTACAAGTACTTCATTATTATTGTTACTTACCTTCGTGCGATTACTTATCGCGTGCGATCTAGGATGTACTGGTAAAAATGGCTGTAACATTTCTTCCAAATTTTGCACGTCCTGTTTTCGCAGACGATATAATTTCACAAAATTAAAGTCAGAGAATTCGAACGGATCATCGGCATTGAATCTTTGCCTCTCCACACGCTCAATAATCCGGATCAAATTAACCCCAGCAAACTGATATGCCATTACTAGGTATACTTTGGATATAATTATCTAAATATGAGGGCCACAGTAGCCTCAATTACAACAAAAATCACGATCTAAATAAGAATTCTGACAGCAGTGTCAGTACTCATAACGAAAGCGATAAGCAAAACACCGACCACTTGGTAGTCGTTTTGAAAGCGACAAGCGCTTTTCAAAAAGCTGAGCGTTCGGGCAACGGGAATACCATATTTTGGCAGGTGCTTCGAAAGCAAGTGCAAATGACGTCATATTCGCTGAGCGACTGGAAAACGCTTAGCGTTTTGGAGAACGAGAATACCGGTCCTGATGTTGTCTAGGATGGTGAGCCGCTAGTCGATCAATACTACTTGCAGTAATAAATATATATTCCAACAATCTTAAGTAACAAACAAATATAACGTCTTATTGCGCTGCCTTGAATCGGTTGAGAGCATTGGCGTCTTTTCGTCGTGTCATCTTCCCCCAGCCACCGTCGATCTGCCGGTCAGCAGCGACAGACATAGAGTGGGACTGCACTATTTGTAGTCTTGTGTATGTCCCTGCGACCAGTGGGGCTAGCGCCGTTTAGGACACGTCTTGCTATATACGATAAGGTCTGTGTCCCCATGAGCGACCCCCACACTTGCCATGTGAATGGGGCTTATCTCGTCGGTCAGTCGGTAAGCGGCCCTCTTGCCATGCGGGTGGGGCCCCATCTCGAGCTGAGAAATTTCTACCGACCCCCTGTATGTCCACTCTACGGCACATGATCAGCGCCATCCTACAGACAGGTGCTACAAGTCATCACTGACGCATGACGTTTGACACATGACGTGTGTATGTTGCGCCATCTAGCAGTGAGAAGGACAACTCATCAATGACGCATGACGTTTGGCAGATGACGTTTGTACACCTATGTGACGCCATCTAGCGGTGAGATCCCCAACTCATCAATGACGCATGACGTTTGACACATGACGTGTGTGTGGCGCCATCTTGCGGTGAGAGGCTCAACTCATCAGTGACGCATGACGTTTGACACACGTTTGACACATGACCTGTGTGTAGCGGCGAGAGGCACAACTCAACAATGACACATGACGTCTGCGTGGCGCCATGTCGCGGTGAGATCCCCAACTCATCAATGACACTTGACGTGCGTATAGCGCCATCTAGCGGTCATCCTATCTCTATATCTCTCCGTATCGTCAGTTGTTCCTACAATTGTAGGACGCCTTTAAGGCGTTGATTTTCATAGTTTTCTACTGTTCCATGTCGGCGCTCGATTTTGAGGTTTTGTTACAAAATCTATTTGCATCAAACTGCTCAAACTTTTGATGTATATCATCTGTTATATCAGCCTGAAATTTCCTACAATTCAAAAAGAAAACGTAGCCCCACAGTAGGAGAGCGCCGACGCTGACACGGAATAGTAGAAATCTGTCGGAAGGAGAGAAAAGACTATGAAAACCAAGGAGGCCATAAAGGCGTCCTACAATTGTAGTAACGAATCACGATACGGCACTAACGCTAACAAAATACGCTTGGGCTATTTTGAATCTTTGTAAGGTTTGTATATCTAATGTGTATAAATTGTGTGTCTTACCTGTACCATGGACAATAATATTATTGATCTAATAAAAAAAACATTTTTTTATATACCGAAGCGGTCGCCGAAGCAGAAGCCTAAATGCCAAAACTTCGCGGCTGCTATGAGGATCCCAAAGAAATTTTGTTAATCCGATTTTTCGACTGCCTATGGTTTGTAGAACTGGGAAAAGCTTCCTCTTGTAGAACGTTTCACAATCTCGACACCCTCGGGACAAAGAAGCGGTCTTATCGGCCAGCTCTGGATGTTCGAAGTTTGACACAGTTAGGATGGGAGGCCAAAGTTAGGCGGATCTGTCTGGCAGGTACATGGCGCGGCGGCGTCACGGAGGAGAGCTTTAAGGAGCAAAGCCCGTTGGTGTACGGACAGCCCTCCTCAGGACAGCATCGAGCATAAATAATGTAGTCGAGGCAGCAGCACCCCAAACGCGTGAACAATGCTCGAGGCAAGACCTTATCTGGACCTTGTATAGAGTGAAGAGGTCATGCCCTAAAAAAATAACCTAGCTTTTTCACAGCGAATGCCGCTATTGACGAGATGTGTTCGTGCCAGATCAAGTCCTCGCTGATCTGGACTCCTACCAGCCGAAATGAACGGCTCTTTGTCAGAACTCTGTCATCCATCGAAACCGGGTGAGCGCTAGGACGCTTTTTGTTCGTCAAGGTACAGTACTGTGTTTTGGAAGCATTAAGCTCTACAAGATTGTTGCGTCCCCAAGCAGTGATAACCTCCATGTCACTCATCGGAGAGGAAGACGCTACTAGTCTTCTTTTTTCCAACTCACTGACAGAGTTCGACTTGTCGCTCTGAATTCCTGTATGTAGAGTGCTGTCATCAGCAAAGTTGTGGATTGGGTTGACCGTGCAGGAAAGGAGGTCGATAAAGGCAGCAAATAAGTTTGGGGGATGTTTTGGAGTTGAGGCGAAGCCACAGAATGTCCTTCCGGTCTGATTCCAAAGAAATGTGTCTGGAGCAGGAAAGACTGCTACGGACAAAAGCCACAACACCCCCGTTCTTTCTCAAATTGGTGTGCTCCTCGTAATTTGTGAGGTTAAGATGATTAATCAGTGCAGACTTCAACATTTTTTTCTCCACCAAGCAAAGCATGGCAGGACGATGGGATTGCAGGTAGTAATAAACAGCATCCATATTGCTGTTAATTGTTGTTCCCTCGAGTCCACTCTCCACCCCGACATTTCTAGAGTGAAGTGAGTTTACGTCCGTAATTCTTAGTACTCGACAGATCCATCATCATTAATTTCTTTGTTAGGGAAGATGACCGACTGCGTAACTTAGGTGTGGAAACATGCGGACATGTATAAGACACCCTGGTAAAAGCTAGCGTGTAGTACCGCCTTGGTCGACTGGTCCTTGTCTACCACCTTCTTTTTGCGTGTTAATGATATTAAATAGACAGAACCGTTCCAGATTATTAAGTAGATATGAGTGGTCTTATTACAGCTTGTGTTATTGACATTGCTATTTTAGCATACAAAAAAGCACTTATTCGTCAAGATAGCGCAAAATTTTAATAATACGTGCTGTTATAAGATCTCCCATACCCATCGACTTCCCACACCCCATCTTTCTATATATAAAAGTATAGTAATCTCAGATTCATATGTAGAGTTGACAACGTTGCATACCGTCAAAAAATTGCGGCAGACAATAATCAAATCCAAGCGAATAACCAAAAAACGTGTTGGTTTTAACCGCGGTTTTGTTGCAAGTTGTTTATTTTAGAAAAGCGCGTATATAATATCTGATTATTTTTATTATCATTTAATAATCGGTGCTTTTTCGTCTACAACTGTATATGGAAAGTTTAAATAAGAAACCTTTCATAATATTCATGGGAGAAATGTTTTTTTCAGATTTTTTTTTAATGATGGAACCATGGCTTTGTAGCTATGATAACTTTCAATTCTCTAAATTTTTCCGCATGTCAAAGAAAACATTTATTGATTCAGCATAAATGATGAAAAAAGAAATTAGCAAAACCGTATACAGGTGGATATCATCTAGTGAGTTTATATGGCCATATTTTAATATTCTTGTGGTATATGGCTACACAGGATACTTTGTTAAGCATAGGAACTACATTTAAAGTGTCCCCAACAACCGTAATGAGTATAACTAATAAGGTGCTCCAATTTATGGTAAAACTGAAGTCAGCCTGTATCATTTTTCTCAAAAATGAAGCTGAAGTACAATAACAACATCCAATACCCGGCAAAATTCTAACTTGTCACATTTCAAATAATAACCAGAAATATAAAACTACTCTTGAATTGGGTAAATACCACAATTTTGCGGTGATAACTATGACATATAACAGCTGATTCGTGACGTAACGGATCTTATAACCAAACTGATAACTACACTCGCTTGAACGGATTGGTAAATACCAACCCAAAATGGTAAATACCATTTCCATTTGGTTATCCGCTTGAATTTGATTAATCACATGCTCAGCCGTATTGCTCTTGGATAATGGATAGCATGGAATATGGAATTCAACCTTCTTCCGGAGGTGAAACGTCTTATGGGCGGACTGGCAACACCAAGGTCATCCTCTCCAGGCAAAATCGAGGTAACTATATTACCGGCATCTCGTGACGTGTGATTGCCGGGATTCAGGGTTGCCAGGCATGCTGATTTTTCGCCAAAGTGGCTTCAAATGGATAGCTTGGCGATTGGCTACATTAATGGCGCCCAGTATTCAGCAAACTGGCGATTTTTAACATTTCTGACGCCAGTTAATTTGTAATCAATCTTTGCTGATATGTGTATACGTAGAAACCCGTGCAAGCTTCCACGTTGCCAAAATGTTAAACCAGAAAATATTCGCACAGGCTTCTACATTAGGTTAGGTTACTGTCAAACCCAAGAATTAGGCCTACTCGAAGCAGGGCGGCACTCCTCAATGAGCGCTAGATGGGTACTGACCAGGGCCGTATTCTCCGCTGTTCGACTTTCGTCCGCCGGCGCGCAAGACGTCACGTGGAGAGTGATTATCATTTGGGTTGATATGGATAATAATAATAATAATAATAATAATAATCGTCTTTATTGTTCAAAACTTGTTACATTACTTGGGGCGAGATTTAGCACCTACTATTCCACCATCTAATCCCGTGCAAAATTGAAAAAAAAACAAGTTATACAAAAACAAAAAAAAAATGTGAAACTATAAAGATTAAGTCACAGTATAATAGGACTATTTATGCCAATTTAGCTATGAAAAGAAGAAGAGATAATAGGTTTCATTATAATAGGACTATTTATGCCATTTAGCTATAAAAAGAAGAAGATATAATAGATTATGAAGAAACGGAAAAATAACTAATCAAAAATAAAAAAAGTATGAAAATGAAAAAACTTCTTAAGCTGGCGGTAGTTTTGCAATTCTTGTAGATAACAATTGTAGAGAACAATTTTTCAAGACATTAGTCAGATGGGAGTTAAACCGTAAGTCCGAGTCAAAGTGAATGCCCAAATGTTTTACTATTTCAGAAAAAATAATTTCCTCCCCATTAACTTTGATGTGAATTATTGGTTTAAGGTTTTCACATAATCTTTTATTGCCAAATAATATGGCAGAACATTTTGAGGGATTTAGTCTGAAGTTGTGAGAGCTGCAGTATCTATTAACACTATGAAGATCCGCATTTACTAGCATCATGGACTCCTGGACATTGTCGGCATTAAAATCACACTTCATCTGCGTATCAACAGCAAAAAATTGAGCATGTGTATTCATGAAGTTATCATGTAAATCTGTAGTGTAAAGTAAAAACATCAATGGTCCCAGTACTGATAACGTGCATATTTTCACCTACAGGCCAAACGGCTGGACGGATTTTCACATATGAGGTGTCGTTGGATTTGTCTTAGCGATGCGAGTGACACTAGCTATATTGAAATTTTATAAAAAACAAAATGGTGGATTTTAATAAAAGATTTCAACCTTGTAATTCCTACTTCATAGGCTACAGATCAAACGGCTTGATAGATTTTCACAATGAGGTGTCGTTGAATTCGTCTTAGCGGTGCGAGTGACACTGGCTACATTAAAATTTTATACAAAACAAAATGGTGGATCTTAATAAAAGGTTTCATTCCTGCAATTCCTATTTCACAGGCTATAGCTTAAACGGCTTCTAGCTCCACAATAGAGTGTATCGTCTCTTCACTGTAAAAACAAGGTAACTCCACTTTCCTACTTTCCCTATATTTTAGTATGTTCTGTGGGGCAGGATTGACATGTTCATGTCATAATGCTGTACTACATTTATCCTTATTCCACAGAACATCCTAAGTGTACATGTAAGTGTGAAAATGTACGCAACTCGAAAAGTAGAAAAATGGAGTTATCTTCCTTTTGCAGTAAGGTGGTGGTATAACAACAAATGGAGATGACTTAGTCTAAGCAACAATTTTTTTCCATTTCCTTTTACGACTTTTCTGGTCTTTCAAACCTTTAATTAGTTCTTTGATGCGGAAGAACATCCTTGAGCTGAAAAACAGTTTTTTAGCTTTTTCAGGGCAGTCAATGTCGCTGCTCTTCCACAGAAGTTCACCTATAAAATGTTGCATTTTTGTTACTATTCCGTCCCCATTGAATGTAGTGAATACCTTGTTCAGCTTCTCAATTTGATTCATGAAAGTTGCTGAAGGTTTTGATAATCCACCCTCACTAAGATGGTCTATCCATGAATAAGTTTCATTTGAGGAACTTTTCAACCTCTCATCCTGAAATTTATTGCAAACAAAGCCGGCCAAATTTTCCAGCCCGTCATACTCGAGCTCATCTATTTCTTCCACTAAAACTTATTGCTCGGTATAGTCAGATGATACTTAAGGTGCATTCAGTTTATTCTCGTTAATGATGCGATTAGTGGTTAGTGGAATGTCTGGAGTATACTCTGACACTGCGCTGCAATAGGTACTCTGAGTATGCGCCTTCGTTTCGCCCCAACATATATGACCTTATTCTATACTTAAACTCTAGAGGACTTGTATGGTCATGAAGACCATCTTTTGCCCTAATTACTCCGAAAAAGTTTTCTATCACATCTAGATTAAGACGTCTTGTTATCAGGTATTGGACGCTGGAGCGTCGTTTCAGATCCTCTAGAGCATTTTCTAGCAAACCTTAGCGCTTTTTACATTGACTTTGTCTTATCTTTTTGTGAGAAGTAGTCATTTTTTTGCAAAATTTTGGGTCTTGAGGAAAACTGTGGAACTTCATGTCTTTGCAAAGATTCCGTTTAGATTGATTGTGGGAATTATATCCCACAACAGCACACCGCATTTTTATCAATTTATTAACCACACAGGGTATATAAGGTATGTATAACTAATACAACAAGTCACAAAACCACCAAAAAACACCAACAAATCGTACTATATAGTATTAACCACGATACACCTGAACTCCAGTAACGTTACGACAATCCTGTCGCTGGTAGCCACGAGCCGATGACTCTCCGAGTGACGTCACGAAGCTCCGCCCACATGCGCAATATCCTATCTTCAGTGTATGTGTATCGTGGGTACTGACCAAAATCTCTCGTCTATGATCAAGGAGGTGGAAACCTTGCCTTGGAATGTACAAGATCAGTAGAGAGTAAACTAGCGCATGTTTTCAACATGCACCTTGATTCAAGGAACTGGTGTAACATAATGTCAACGAGGCGCAGATTGCCGCGTCAGCGTTGATAGGCAATTCCGATGTCTATAGACACTTCTCTCGAACACATGAACTCAAGCCGTCAAACTAATTTGGTTTTCAGTATAGATTAATGAAACATGAAACGAGGATCAGCAGCAGTTCTGTTCTCTAAGCACAATGACGCTTATGGTCAAATGTCATGTCAAGGTGTCGTGTGATCTGAGCATATCAACGCCATCCCAACCTAAAACTTTTGACACAGTGTTACTTGGTTATTATTCAATTTTTGTACGATAACCGGGAGAGGAGAGAGTGTGCCCCCCCCCCAAGGTTTACAGAGCAAAGGTAAATACGCAGAAATTATTGTCTCCCCGTTCTTCAATTTTCAATAATCGGTAACCATCCTCCTCCACGTTTTCATCTTGTCACAATATCACCCTGTAAACGAACTTCGTTTCGTTAATATTACACGTGTCTAACAACCCCCCATCCTCACCCCAGCTTTTCAATGGATTCTTGGAGTATTATTGTGCCTAACCCATCTCATCACCGCTCTTCAGTTATCGTCAACAGGCAGGCTACTTAGGCGCGACAAATCAATTCCAATCTCTAACCTGGAGTTTTATGGTTAGACTCCTAGTTAATTTGGATTGGCGATTTTCTCATCAAAAGTTGACGACCAACGTGACTGAAAACGTGGCAACCCTGCCGGGATTTTCTACCTAACTGAATTTCTGAATGTAAAAATATCAAATATGACGTTGGTTTTGATTAGTAAAATATAAAACAACACTATCAGTACCTGTCTGTAATGGTATACGTGAAATGTATTGTGACTACTGTGAGAGATGCAGACGTTCAGGAGGCTCTGTCATGTCATAAAGTGCTACTGGTAGGCAGTGAACTTAACATATCCACCACGATGTATTTAGTAGATTTATTTAAAAAATTTCATGTCTGGATTCAGTCTCTTTATAAACTTTGTAGTTGGCACCGTAGTATCAAGTATGAAAGGCCAACAAATTGAAGGGATAGAACTGAGCAAATTCATGAAAAGTGACTAGCTTATTTACAAAGAATTATGAATTACATTAGTGTTGTCTGTATTGTTTCAGAATTATCAAGAAGCGGTACAATGAAGTGAGACACTTGTGTTTTACAACACTTAACATGAATCTGAAATAAATCTACCTATATTTTCATGTAATACAATTTCTATACCACTGTCAACAGCATATGAATATTTTTTTAAACTAAATAAATTAGGGTTGGATTCTATTATGCTGAACCTTTTTCTCAGTAAAATTGCTGAAAGAGATATTACCCTTATTAGGGGTATTTTTTTGAATGTATGTTAATGAAATAGTCCTTCAATATCGGAAATATCGTTTTCAGCAGATTTCAAATTATGAACAAACGAGATCCTCGACAGCCTGGCACATTCCTGGCATTCCGTATTCCAGGCGCATTCTCGGTATTCTTCGGATAGTTCCTCCAGATCTCCAGGCAAGTAGGCGGCGCAACCATCTGACAAAACGTCGACGGTGTTGCCATTGTTTAACGTGCAGCTCCCACTTCTTCAGTCTTATGTGTTTTTGTGCCTTCTTCAGTGTACGTTTTATGGGTACTGACAGAGCAATTTCGAACGACACATGTGACGACAATGACAATGCTGTGACAATGCCTCAGTGTATATCACGTGTGGTCAACTGAGGCCTGACAAGACGCAACACAGGAAATCTGGCAACGCTTTTCGTTGTGAAAAAACGGCCGGCAACAGTGTCAATATTGATAGTGTCACTTGTCTTTCATACGTCTTCTTCAAGGTCACCGCTGTCAAGCTGCCATTTTTCTTTTACCGCCAAAAATGTGCCGATGTGTGGAGTGGTTTGGAACAATGCTGCTCCGAAATAATATAGGTATGATGTGATAATGAAATACAGCAGTTTTACTTTTGATATTTATTGGAATTTGGAGTGTGTCATCAAACCCTTAATTAAGCATGCGTTTATGTCCACCTTGAAAAAAAACGTGAGTAAAATTATCTCGCTCCACTCGGTTCCTCTGTGCCTACATTATTTTTTTATAAATTCTGTTTCAAGAAATGATTTTCAATATTTTCAGTTCCAGTTTCTGTCACCCGTGTTTCAAGATTGGAGTGGGTTAAAAAAATACAGGTGAGTACCTACATGACATTGATTCTGATAATATTGTGAAGTTGCTCAGGGCATTTATTATTTTTCACTTAAATCTGTTTGATACTACTATGGCAAAAACAAGCAAGAAATGGACACGACAGTGCCTGTATCCTTTTGCCAAAATAAATACATATTGAATGTAAGTCATTCATATCCCCCATCCAAGAAATTTCATCGATTCCCAAAAATCCCAGTCAAAGGTAATTATGGTACAATGCCTGTGGATTAGCTTCCAGTACAAAATCTGATAACTTCTATGTTTGCGAAGACCAGTTCGTACTGTCTGATCATGTTTCCCTTTAGGATCCCTATTCACGTTTGAACTGTCTTGCAGTTCCAAAAGATGTTGCTCAAAATCCAAGTCAACCCATTAGTTATTCTGATATTGCAGTTTCATTGAAAGAATGCTCTGTTGGTTTCTCAGCAAGCGTTTGTGATTCTCCTTCAACTTCTGCAGCAAGACACGTAAATTGCCTGCCAAAAGAAGTACCAAAGACTTGACAGATGTAAGTACAATTGAACACGATCACTGCTATTCTAAGCCAGATTTTGCGGTACAGACTCATTATCAAGATAAATATACATTTCTGAAAGACACTTTGAGTGCATGCCTTACACAATTAGAAGTAAGTAAAAGTCAACAGGAAGGGAATCTAAAATATATCAAATTCACACAAAGTGATGTTAACATACCACAATACCCTACATGTCTGGAAGCACTGTTCTCTGATGAGTTGACCCCATTACAGTTGTATGTTCATTTCAAGCAACAGGACAACAAGCAAGACTGTATAGTTTTTTGGATAAGTTTGCCCATTTGCCTGCCTCCTTCAAAACAGGTCTGACACAACTGCTTGAAAATATTCAGCCTTGCAATGTTCATGATGTCCTCAAAAATATCATTAACAAATGCAGCAGACTGACAATCTTCTAGTATATTAAACATAAAAATTCTTTGAAAAGACCTCTTGAAACATCTGATGGTCATTCAAGGAAAATGAAAAAGTTGAATGCCACCAGGTAAATAAATCATTTTCAAATATTTGCTGCTGGTTTTGTAATGATTTCATGTACCTCCGTGGATGACTATCACAAACCTGGCTGTGACATACCTGACCAGGACATTTTTACCATATTGTGATAGAATTGTTTTATTTTATTTTTTATAATTTTATGTTGTTATTAAATTACTATATATGGCCTGTAACATATACATACAGGCTTTACTCATGTAAAATAAATGTCAAATGTAAAATTTTGCAAATTAGTGTTTATTCAGAAGTATAATGTTATGTTTGATTAACGAAATCTTGTACCGTTTACATACAGATTTCACAATATTTTTGTCATTGAATTTTTGTTGATTGTGGTATCATGGGTTTTTTGTAGTTTCCTTATGATCGTATATTGGAATTACTATTCAGAAACCTCCCATGGGAGTTTCTGATTCTTCATTGCACTATATTGCAAATGCACCACATTACTTATCTACCAGAATAAAGTTATTTTCCTAATTATATTGTTTTATTTATAACTCTTGAACGAACCCAATCACAAATACACGTGAGGTGTTGAATTGTTTTTCCTAATGCAAAATTAATTTTTGTTATTGGGAAAACCCATCGACTTTAAAACGAGGATAGACCCCTTTGCTTACATGGTTGTTGACGACATATACAAAGCGAATCGACACGTTGCCTCGCCGCAAGAAACGGCAGCAAAACAACGGATTTGTTCGTGGTCGTTCTACACATTTTCAAACCTCCAGTAACTAAAATTATTCCCTGTTTATCTTGATTTTTCAGCGCATGTGTGGGTACTAAACATCATGATTCTCGTACAATGGATTGATATCAAAATAGTCAAACAAGTAAGAACCTTACATAAATTATACCATAATCGACTTGAAGATCTGGCAACGTTGCTTTTATCTGCTCATTCATAATTTATCCACATCGTAAGAAAATAGTATATTGGTAGCACTTATTTAAGCTACTAAACAACTGCCATTTTGTGTCAATTGTCAAAGTTTGTTTTGATAGTGAATTTCCTTGCTGCTTTTATTCATTTTAGAGAGACTATAAAGGTATATTCAATCGCAATAAAATGGTGCAGCAGTGCTATTTGTGTAAAATTTATAAACATCAGGCTGGAGCGGAATCTTTAAAATTTAATTCGTAAGTATACATCTTGTTTATGTTCAGAGGCGTATCATGGCGTCTTATTATCGAGAAACTTGTTGATAGCTTTCGATTTATAACTGTAATATTCGAAATTCTAGGAGGTTTATGTTCCAAGCGTTTTGGAGAAAATGCGTTTGTTTATGGAAGTGAGGGACAAAAGACACTCAAGCGGGATGCGATTCCTCTCATCTCTCATTCTTTGTTTGATCCTGCAGTAAGCACCAGGTAAACTCTTAATACATAATAGACTAGTTTTTCTAATACAGTAAACAAAAAAGAATAGTTGTATTTAATAATATTTAACAACCACTCATTTTGATTCTGATTCTATCTGCTGTTTAACTTTTCATATAAGATGTTTCTGATCTAGGTATTTCCTAACTTAACTGTTATGGATTTAGGTAAATTTAGCTATAATTAGTGTTATATTTTGGCAATTTCACAGATAATAGACAGATATAAGACATACTCTATAATCTATCAGCAATCAAGAAGAGCTAACATAGTATCTGCATCTTATGAGCTGAAATGAAGATGATGCTTATATCTTACATTACATTGCTATGAAAACAGTGACAGTACATTTGATTGATTTGGTTTGTTCAAATCACAATGCATTAAACTGAGTTGCTCATACTTTGATTAAAACTATAGTTCCTTTTGATTTTTTGGGTATTTTTTATATATGTGCATTGATTTTTATAACTCATACTATTATTTAGTGTTTAATTTCATGAAGTATTTCTATGCATTAGTACAGGGTGGCGCAGAGGAAACGCACGATTTTCACCTAAGCATAACATTTTTTATTTTCAAGATAACTTTGTTTCAGTTACAGCTAAATAAAGTAATGATAGTGCACTTTTAAACTAATGATGGTAAATAACGTCACTCAAGTGTCGCCCTGCTTCGCGCTCGCACATCTCCAACCGCTCTTGAAAGTTGTGCATTACACGTAAAATCATTTCTTGTGGTATTCTTGCAATTTCTTGACGAATAGCAATTTTCAGTTCCTGTAACGTACGAGGCTTGTGAGGGTACACTTTATCCTTAAGGTAACCCCACAAAAAGAAGTCGCATGCGGACAAATCTGGGGAGCGTGGGGGCCAAGGGACATCGCCGAAACGGGAAATCACATGTTCAGGAAACATCTGTCGAATACATTCCATCGATGCTCTCGCTGTGTGAGCTGTGGCACCGTCTTGTTGGAACCACAGCTCTCCCATGTTTACTTGTTGCCGTTGAAGTTCGGGTAACAGAAAATTTTGTAACATGTGATCATAACGTGCTGAAGTAACTGTTACTGCTCTTTCTTCCTCTTCAACAAAGTAAGGACCAACGATACCTAATTTACTGATTCCGCACCACACAGTTAATTTTTGACTATGCAAGGGTCGTTGGTGTAGCTCTCGTGGATTTTCGGCCGCCCAATACCTACAGTTCTGCCTGTTTACATATCCTGTTAAATGGAAGTGTGCTTCGTCACTCATCATTATGACGACGTCAGGATCGTCAGCAAAACTGGCCCGCATTCTCGCACAAAATTCTCTACGCTGTGCAAAATCGCTTTCCGTTAGCTCTTGCACGATCATTATCTTGTACGGATGATATTGTAAATCGTCATGCAGAATGCGTTGTAACGACCGACGGGACATACCCAGAGTTGGAGCTTGGCGCCTAGTGGACCGTTGGGGACTATCAAGGACCGCTCTTCTCACTGTTTCGATATTGCCTGGAGTCCGCACGGTACGGGGAAGGCCAGGTGGCTTCCTCTTCATTACGGATCCAGTACTTCGAAATGCTTCAACCCATCGGAGTATTGTGTTTCGATCTGGAATTGGCCCGTGGCGTTCAACATTGAACTGTCGACGGAATAAACGTTGCACGATCACTACAGAATCATCGTTTCGAAAAAATTGCTCGACAGCAAACACACGACGCTCCGTCATCCACGGTGCCATGGCTGAAACTGCATCGCATGTGTTCTCTGCTGGCGGTGCGGCGAGGTCATATCCCTATTCTGTGCGAAATACCATTCGGTCAGAAAACATGCGTTTCCTCTGCGCCACCCTGTATCTCACTATGTAGAAGTCCCTAATTTGGTTTTGTATATATATGCTTTATTCTAGTTCAGAATCATCTGTAAGTCCAGAGAAGCAAGAAGACTCAGATTGTAGTACTATATCTCAGTGGCAGCTCGTGCCAATTCAGTGAGGTAGTGCCAGAATGGAAGCCATAATTTTGAATCGATTCAAAATTGTAAAGAATAACTTATAACTTACCCCTGATAGTTAGTGGTCAAAGTTCTTGAGGTTCAATAAATCTATATGTCCAAAAAAAAATCAAAAATAAAACTATTTACACACGCGCACCAAATTATAAAACAAGTGTGGAGAAGTACATCTAACTTCAAAGTTTTCTATACATGAAGTCCATTCTTCTTTCTTTTTTGGTAGCAAAGTTTTCGATTACCCTATTATTAAAATTTTCAATGCCACTAACAAAATGTTTTTCTGCAGACAGCATTCCTAAAGCACTAAGCCTTTCTTCCTTCATTGTGTTTCTGAGGAAAGTTTTAATCCGTTTCAGCATTGAAAAAGAGCGTTCTGCTTCAGATGTTGACATCGGTATAGTGATTAAAATACTTAAGAGCTTAAGAGTTTCTTGAAACGTACAATTTAATCCTTCCTCGTTCAATAAATTGGATAGTGGAACAGCTCCAGAAGTAGTACTCAATTCTTCTCTCTGATATAATACTTGTAACTCAGTTTTAAGCCTGTTTTTGTCTAAAAATGAAAATTGTGTGCATGTGTCATTTAAATGTGCTTCAGGAAACTGATGTTTATAAACAGAAAACTTTTCAGACATAAATAAATTAGAAGCAACTAAATGTCCAGAAAAGTTAAATCTTGTTCTTATTTGCGATAATACTGCATCGCATATTTCTAACGCTTCCCGTTTTTTGCTGCCTTCTTCAACTTCGCTTTTTTTCTTGGCGGTTCATCAGTTTCTCTCTGCACTCGTTCAATCTCGTCAATAATGCTATCCATTTGTTCTCGTATAGTTTGAATTGCTGCTTCAAAATTCTCTAAATCATTTTTGACCTTAACAGAATCGGTGCATACTTTTTGTAATTGGTTAAAGACAATTTCAACATGTGGCATTATTTTATGGAATATACTTAGCCAAAATACAAAATTTGTATCTTGCAGCTTTAATTTGTACCCACTGGCTTGATTAATCGACGAAGAATCGCGTGAAGTACTTTCTATATTGTCCATAACTTCAATCAGGTCTTTCCTATTTTCATAAACTGTATGAACACCTCGTGACTGAAAATTCCAACGTGTTTGGGAAGATCTTGGCAATCTGCAATTAACTATTTCATCCAAAATTTTTGTTCTTTGAGGAGACGTCGAAAAAAAAGAGCACAATCCAGATAAATTATGGAAAAATATTCTAGCCTGCTTATTGACAGAGCATGCGCTTGTCATAATTAGATTTAACTGGTGTGCATAGCAATGAACATAATTTGCAAGTGGATAAGTTTCCTTAATAATTTTTTGAACGCCATTCAATTCACCACTCATAACAGACGCACCATCATAGCTTTGAGCTATTAATTTGTTTGGATTTTGATCTAGTAATGGATTTACAACATTTAAAACGCATGCAGCGATTGATTTGGCATCGTGTCCGTCGGGGACGTAAAATCTCCAAAATCTCTCAACTGGTTGTCCTTTACACAAATATCTGAAAATAATAACTAACTGACATTCACAGGCTACGTCAGTCGTTTCATCGGCAATTACTGCAACAAAAGGAGAATTTGCAATCTCCTTCTTAACTTCTTCATGATAAACATCTAGCATGCACTCAAGAAGCTCGTTTTGAGTTGTTTTTGAGGTACCCTTGAAAAGTTTGGCACTTTGAATATGAACTTTCAATTCGTTGTCTAATTCGGCGCTAAAATTCACCAGCTCCTTAAATATGCCTCTGGTTTCCGAATGTTCCTTTTCATCGTGACCCCTTAAGGCTAACTCAAATGCTCCACAAAACCTTATACAATTAATAATTTTATTCAATACATATCGATTCTTATCCACTTGATTATTATGTTTAATTAGATCATTGCGATAAGCCGAATTGAGTTGAGTCCTTATATTTAATTTACCAAGAATAGAAAAGCTAAAAACATTATTCATATGGACTTTAGATTTTTCGTGGGTCTTCATTTTATCCCATATATGTATAAGATCGTCTGTACCTTTTTTTGACCAAGTCTCGTCACCTCCAAATAGAACACATACAAAACAAAATAGTTTATTCGTTTCTTCACAACCACATATCCAGCTGTTTTTATCGTACACATTTTTATTAAATTTGCGACAGCGCGATTTTTGTCCGCTACCACTTTGTTTCTCAATTTTTAAATCGGGTATTGGCCGTCCTAATTCTTTAATTTGCAGTTTTTGATCCAGCGAAAAACCACTAAATGAGTTTTTTAATATCCCGATTTTATTCATTTTCACTAGTTTTAATAAAACAGTAAAAAATATGATCACAAAACAGAGCAGTTCATTAACACTAGACGTACTAAAACAAAAAAGGTATTTTTCACTTTTCAGGTAAAAAAAGACCGAAATCAGCACTAGACGTAATCATAACGAAACGACCGACCGAACAAAAACACCGCCGATATCACTTGATAACGAATTACGACTGATGATGTGCCTGGCACAAATTATACTTGTCTTTCGCTATTCACCTCATATAAAAATGTGTAGGGTAGCGTTATCTCTGTCGCTCGTATGCGATGCTAGTAAAATTTCTCTCTTTTTATTTGGGCCGGCCCAAAATTGGCACAAGTTGATGACGTCAAGGTCAAGGCGTGCTTTCCGTATCGCGTGGTTCGGGTGCTTGCGGTGTTGTCACGTTGTCAGTGTTGTCACTTCATATAATTTATACCAAAAAAAAAAAAAAAAATGAAAAAGCAGAAAATAAAGTAAAACATTGAAGATTGAAAAAAATATTCTTTTTGAAGAAGACAAGGTAGTGCCATGGCACCGTGGCACTACCTCACGAGCCGCCACTGCTATATCTGCCATTTCAATCACTTGTGAGGGGACTCCTGCTAAAAAAAGGTAAGTTTAATTTATATTCTCTATCATGTTATTTTGTAGTATATTGAAATTTCTATGAAATTGAACATTTCTGAAGTCCTACATCCATATGGAAGCATTTTATATTTGCTGAATTGATATCGTAGATGGAAAAAATACCACCATTGTAGGTTCAAGTACAACAAGAAGGTATTCAGGAAATTATCTAGGGTTTTGTAATGATTTAAATAGAGCTTACCTCAAGCTGTACCATAAAAAAGATGATGAAGTTGAAACTCATTCATTTTGATATATGCCTTAATATAACCCTTACTAAATGTTTGATACGTCCTAATCAGCAGTATTCTATTGTATTCAACCTTTGCAATTCTTGTAACATAGATTTTATTTTGGTGTACTTATTTTTATTCAATATTATTGTCATAGCTTTATTTTGCAAGACTTAATTTTGAGAATACAGCTTCATTGGCAGTGAACGAGATAGTTGAACAGTATAGTAAATGCGGTAAAATAATTTTTTTTTTTTGCTTTAGGACCTAATCCATGCAGCCAGAAACTAGGTTGTTATATTTTACATTTCTTATTATGGACAAACACACGACGTCACAACATCCATGGCCAAGGCGAGATTCGAACTCGCGGCCCGGCCGACCGGCTGATCAGTAGCACGACACTCTGACCCACGCGGCCAACCGAGGTCCCCGGTAAAATAATTGTATTATGAACTATTTTCTAGGAATAGGTACCAAAACTATGAGAAGCTCTATAAAAGTAATTTGTTTTTTTTATTGGCAATTTTTGAAATAATGTATTCATAGTGATCCTCAAACTTTAGTTTACTATCAATATATATACCTAAATATTTAATTGATGCAACATTTTCAATTATTTCTCCATTTATCCTAACTGTGATAGTATTTTCATTTAGGTATTTCCCTATTAGCATACATTTTGTTTTAGAAGTATTCAATTTTAGTTTATTTACATTTAACCAATTTACGATTTTTGCCAAGTCAGAATTTAGCATTTTTAAAGTGTCTATATTTTCATCTGATATGTATATTAATGTATCATCTGCAAATATCTGAAGTTTACAATAATCTAAAATATTACAAATGTCATTAATGTATAAAATAAATAGTAGTGGACCTAGTTTACTACCTCGTGGTATACCAAAAGAAATATTCTTTGATATTGATCATGTAGATCCAATTTTGGTTTTTTGACTTCTGTCAATTAAATAGTTTTGTGGAATTTTTAATACAGATCCTTTAAACCCGTAGTGATGCAATTTTGTAAGTAATTTATCCCTCTCAATAGCCAAACTCCCTTTTGAAGTTCAAAAAACACTGTTACTGTATGTTTCCGATTGTCTATACATCTCCTCCAGTCCTCTAAAACCATTTGTGTCCTGAATCCAGCTTGAAATTTGGTTAAAATGTTACTTCTCTCAATAAATTCGATGATCTGTTCGTAAATAATTTCTTCAAAAACTTTTTCAACATCTGGCAGAACATTTATTGGCTGCATATTGGTGTATTGTAAGTTAATTTTTCATCCTGTAATACATAATACTGCAACATACAGAATGATTGGTTTACAGTTTAATAGGTGGTAAGAGGATTAATAACGTTTGTTTTAGTTTTTAGATAGCCTAGGTTTGTCTTATATTCAAAACTTTGTTCTTATATGACTGCTACTATTTTGGTTATAATTATTATATGTCTATTTAATATGTGTACCCAATATGTTTTCATAGTAACACATAAAAATTATATCAAAAGTGATAAACTGCTCGATATACAGTACAACCTCGTTAATCCGAATAGATTCGGACCACCGAGCATTCGGATTATCAAATTTTCGGATTATCGTGAAACTAGTGAAAATAATAAATTTAGACACAAGTATTAAAAAATAAACTTTATTCTTTTCAACAAAACATAAATTTAACAAACCAAGGACAGTGGTCAGTTAAATACTGCAAAAAAAACAAATTAAACTTTCTCCTTCAAAAAAACTTGAATTAACATTCATATGTATTTATATGAGTACAGTACATACATAATTATGTATACATAAATCTATTGGGTAAAGAAATCAGTTATTACAGTTTGCTTATGCGCCTTAAAGCGTAAATTCACTGCTTTTTCCTGTAACTGGCGAAGAATTAGCAGTTCTGGACCGCTTACACTGTTCTCTGTCGCCCACTCTATGCAAGTAGTAAAACATCGCACGGCTTCACCGTGACTCACAACTGCTAAATTTTCATAATCTTCAGCGTCTTCAGGGGTGTCATCGTTGTTGCCGCTTAATGCAATGTTTACCAAATCTTCATCAGAAAATGTTATTTGCTCATTTTCAGCTGCGTCGCCCAAGGCCCATGTTCTAACTTCATTCGCTGCAAGATCCGGTCCTGATGAGATGACATTCATCAGAACCGTCATTTCTTCAAATTCTCGCTCATCTGATATCGCTCTTCTCCTTAGTTCTGCTAATGGCATCAAGTCTTCTTCGTCATCGTATTCATCGCCCAAATTTTCATGGATATTTAAAGGCCTAAGCTTTTTCCATGATTTTTTTATTAATTCAGTGCTGACGTTCTCCCACGACGTGTGGAGATTAAAAATTGCATTTTTTAAATTGAAACTTTTTAATGCTTCTGCAGGTTCGGTATCATCAGCAATTAAATGAAGAAGAAGCTGCTTCCTGTAGTGCATTTTAATAGCTTGAATGACATGTTAATCCATCGGCTGCAACAATGGGGTACAATTTGGTGGCAAATATAAGACACAGACTAGACCATCTCTGCTCCGCAGTTCTTTTTGTTCGGGATGGCTAGGTGCATTGTCCAGCAGCAAAAGAGCACGAGGAGGTAAACCGATTTGCTTTAAATGAGCTTGCACTGAGGGAACGAACTCTTCATGGAACCATTGCTTGAAAAGTTCTTGATTCATCCAAGCAGATCTCTGATTTTTGTAAATCACGGGCAACTTATTTCGACAGTTTTTAAATACTCTAGGATTGGCAGCTTTTCCAATTGTGAACAGCTTTAATTTGTGAGATCCGGATGCATTTGCACATGGCATGAAAGTAAGCCGATCCTTGCTTATCTTTCGTCCCGGAGCTGAGTCTTCGTCTTTATGTACTAATGTCTTATTGGGTAGCGCCCGCCAAAATAGCCCACTTTCATCGGCATTATACACTTGTTCCGGACCCAAATTCGTTTCCCGCACTTTATTTAGAAATAGTTTTTGAAATGGATCAACTGCTGCAAAATTGCTCGAAAGTTTTTCTCCCGTAACGGTTAACTGACGAATTTTAAACCGCTTTTTAAAATTATCCAACCAACCAGAACTTGCCGCAAAGTCCCGTAATTTCTTCGTAAAAAAATGTCGCCTTTTCTTGCAGGATTTCGCCCGAAATGTTCACATTTTTGGTCCTCTGCTGCAGGAACCACGTGTACAACGCCGTCTCTACATTGGGGTGCTTGGCCGTCTTCAAAGTCAGATGTGTTGTTTGTTGTTGATGAGAATTCATGTATTCAGCAATTTGGGTCTTCTTTTTCTTTATATCTGTGATGGTTGACCTTCCAACTCCATATTCTGCGACGAGCTGCACTGGACTTCGTCCGTTGTCTAATTTCTGAATTATCTCATATTTCTGCGCAAGGCTAAGTGTCTTGTGTTTCCTCTTAGACATGGTGCACGAATTATAACTATATTTCAAACGCGTATTAACTCTAGGCACTAAGAACGCACCGCACTCGAAACTAACAGCCTATGTACTGAGAAGTTCGACAGGCTATGACACGATTTTTCGGATTATCAAGGTATGACGCAATACGATTTCGGATTGTCGAGGAACGAAATTATTTCGGACTATCGCGATTTCGGATTAGCATGTATTCGGATTATCGAGGTTGTACTGTATACATTTCAGCTGTTACTTGGTGTATTTTTATGAATGAAGATATGAAAATGAGCTATGTGATTATATTAAAACTTATTTGGGGTCTCGATAATCATTCCATGTTCCCTGATTTGTTACATTTTGCAATATATATATATATATATATATATATATATATATATATATATATATGAATAAAAATAGAACATAATAACTTGGAGTTTCTATTTTAAAGGCTTTTGTATCCTGCCCACTCAATAGAGTTCACGTAAGTATTCCAATTGAACTAGATATTGCACAAATATGAGTAATATATTTGTTAGTACACAACTTCGTACCGTTTTTTTTGTGATGCTCTTGATTTAAATACGCTTATTTTGTCACCCTTATACGTATTGTATGCTACGCCTATGTGTAATTGTACCAATGATTATACATAGAGTCTTCAGTGGCGTGAGGTTTCACAACCTGAATTCTCATGCGGCGGCCATTTTATTGTTCCCCTCTCATTCCCTCATAGCCCCTCGCCACCACTTTGTGCTTTGTTTATGTCGTCAACGAATCTAATGTAGTTTTATGAATGACTTGCTGGGTCTATCCTTGTTTCAAAGTCGATGGGAAAACCAAATAAAGATGACAATGAGTGACAGATGTGGTGAAACAGCAGGCAACCATGATAACACCGCCATATTAGTGGTCGAGAACTATCGATAGCCTATCGATAGTTTATACCATCGAATATAATCGATATTTCATACTATCGATAGTTTCGATAGTTACTGTCAACGTCAACTGTCAAGACTTTAACGTCAACTTCAAGAAAACGCCCAACAGTCAACGGATTTTCTGCAATTTGATATTCATATTCAATTCACATTTGATAAAACAATCAACAATAATAGACATAAAGATATCGAATTAAAAAACGTATGTGATTGTATTTTCCGTTTCCGTCCCGATTTCAAGACGATTATTCAGTGAGAAATTCTGTGTCCGAAATGGATAAATTTCTTCAAAGAGGAGATTGCAAAAAGCACCAAATCAAAAAAAAAGTAAGTTTCAGGTTAAATATTCAACATTTACACAAAAAAAAACATTTTTTTAAGGTTCTCGTTCACTAACTCTACTACACCCTTCCTTTGATGTTCCATGTTCATCATCATCTTCTTCTGATAGTTACATAGTTATCCCACCAACGTCAGTAATTGAAAAAAATGCTGGAACAAAGAGAAAAAAATCATCTGCAGTATGGAATTATTTTAAAAGATCCTCAGATAAAAAGTTAGCCAAATGCATTACCTGCGGAAAAGAATATAAGACAAGTGGCAATACAAGCAACTTGTCTGGTCATCTGAAGAGATTCCATCCAGTCATAAATACGCAAGATAGTGAAGAGGAAACAACATTTGCCTCAGAATCTAGTAGTACTGGTAGTTTCAGTAGGGGCAGTTCAACTTCCACATCTGCTCAATCCAGCCAAAGATCAGTGAGTCCATTTTTCAAACAAGCAATGCTATACAATGATCAATCTTCTCAAAAGAAAAAGTTGGATTTGGCTGTAGTTGACATGATTGCACTAGACCTTCAACCTTTTACGATAGTTACAGATGAGGGATTTAAAAAATTAGTTTCTTTATTGGATCCAAGATATGACCTACCCAGTACTTATACACTTAGTGGAAAACTACTGAATCAACGATATACTGACATACGCAATAAGCTAAAAGAAGATATGTCAGGTGTGGAATATGTAGCTTTAACATGTGATGGATGGACCTCAAGAGCTACTGAGTCATATTTAACTATAACATGCCATTTTGTGTCTAATCATCAGTTACATGCTGTAGTGTTATCTACAAAGCCATTGACTAATGGTATTAATCACACTTCAGAGAATATTGCTGCTTCTATACAAGAAATCATTGATGAATGGGAAATTGATCACAAGATAACTTCCATTGTAACAGATAATGCAGCCAGTATGATCAAGGCTTGTGAATTATTGAAGAAAAAACATTTCCCATGCTATGCTCATATGCTGAATCTTGTTGTTCAGGACAATATGAAATTGATACAACCAATTCTGAAGAAATGCAAAGACATTGTAACTTTTATTAAACAGAGCACAAGTGCAATGGAAATATTTAAAAAAGAACAAAATAGTGAAAAGCCTTTGAAGCTTATACAAGAGTGTCCCACACGTTGGAACAGTAGTTACTACATGATAGAGCGTATTTTGAAAACCAACGAAGCAATTGGTAGAACATTGTTAAAAGTCAGGAAAGCTCCTCAACCTCTTTCTGTGGATGATGTTTGTGTTTTAACAGAATTAGTAAAAGTATTGGACATTTTTGAGGAGGCAACAAAAAAAATTTCAGGTAAGAAACAAAATTACTTAAGCAACTGACTATGTCACATTCTTTTTTGTACTTTTGCAGGTTCCAAATATGTAACCATATCATTAGTGATTCCAGTTACTATGGGACTCTATAATAATGTGTGCAAAATTTCAACAAATATGGAAACAGAGGATGGAAAAAAATTCATCAAGGGGCTTATTGACTCCATTATAACGAGATTATTTCCTTATGAAAATAGAACAGTGGCAAAAATAGCTTCCTTGTTGGACCCCAGATTTAAAAAAGAAGGCTTTCGCATTCCTGCCAATGCCTCTGCAGCCATAAATTTATTAGAGTTTGATATGGTTTCCATACTGAAAAAAAAGGAAGAAAAGAAAAAAACAATTGAAATTCAAAACCAAAATGTATCATCTACTCCGGAAAAACCAGGCACATCATGTGCACTTTTTGCTTTTTTAGAAGAGAGGATTGATTCAAAGATAAAGTCCTTAACTGCAGACGTGATTATCACCAAAAGACAATATTTAGAGACTATAAACTCTGACCAGGATACGGACCCTCTTTTATATTGGAAGGTAAGTCACAAGAAAAAACATTCATTATGATATGACAAAATTATTTATTATAGATTGCAGGACATGGATTATCTCCTTTAGAGGAGTGTGCTGCCAAATACTTGTGTATCCCAGCAACTTCGGTGGAATCAGAAAGATGCTTCAGCACAACAGGGCAAATAATAACTGAACGACGATCACGCTTAAAGGCAGAAAATGTAGACAAGATAACATTTCTTCACAAAAACATTAGGAACCATTAGCTAGCAGTGACCAGTTCAAGAATAAAAATATTAAGAGTTTGGGATAGTTTTTTTACGTCCATGATCTACAAAACAGAATTTATTTCAAGAATAACTTAAAAACCGCTTAGTTACCAATTATTATGACTATCGAATACTATCGATAATAATCGATGATCACAGTACCGACAATCGATAATTATCGATGGTCACAGGACCGACAATCGATAATTATCGATGGTGGAGACTATCGATAGTTCTCGACCACTACGCCATATGTCATTGTAAAAGACATGGCGGCATATGTCATTCGTCGAATTGGTGTCATATTTGTTCTATCACCACGAAAACATGGCGACAACCGTGTTGCTGGTTGAATTACACTGAATATGCATTCTTTCAGTGTATATCAGGGGGGGTGAAACTCATATGAACGAATGAGAAACAAAGCAGTGTTGCGGGTGCACAGTATGAGAATCATGTCGCACCCTCAAAAAATGGCGGCTTATTCACAACTGCCGTTGTCTGATTGGTCAGATTTAAATTTCCGGCGGGTTTTGCACAGTGGATCACTACGAATAAGTTCAGCCGCCGGTGTCAACCCCTGAGGTCCTGAGAATTATCAGAAGTTTGGAGATTACTTGTGATCTTACCAGAAGACACATCTCTGAAGGATATTTGCAGGCCATAACATTTCTAAGTTTTTATATGACTCAATAACCAGTGATGATTTAACTGCTTTTTGTCCAAAATAGTTTCCATACTCCATTTTAAATCATCTATTCTTAGAGCAGCAGAATTGATATGCAAAGCTCAGTACAATTACAATGAAATAGAAGCCATATGTTATTGAAAAATAACATGGGTGCCCACAGAGGGTGGTGTCAGATGGGCAGTGGTTTCTTCTGTGACTACTTTGACTTTAACATTTGCACATTTAGCATGGTTTTGTGTACAACTTTGATAATTTTGTAGAATTTGTCCCCCCTGAGAAAATTGCTAGTTCTGCTCATCAAAAAATTTTGGGGGCGGGTACAATTTCACAAAAAGTTGTCTTGGTGATGATCAGCACCGCTGAGAAAAATTCCTCTCGGTATCCTTGTACAATAATACTATTGTTCTAGTGAAAAAAGAAATCTGAATTGTAGTAACATATCAACACAGTTCAATTTTTTCCTAATTTTTTATACTAAGTGACATATAAATCCGAACACCCAGTTTAAATGGTTTTATTTTAATAAAAGTTGGTGAATGTATTTATCTTACTGTAAATAACAAGTGAAAAAATGTTCAGCCTTATCAGTTGGACATTCCGGTTTTTATACTGCTTTTTTTTAATTCACTAACGCTCTAAAAATGAATATTTCAGCCGCAGTAAAGAATCAACGTTGGCGGATTTTGGTTCTTGACATCCTTTACGATCGGTTACGATGCCTAGAGTACGGAGACCTGTACGATTTCGTCAACTTAGTGAGTTTGATAGGGGCCGTATAGTGGGACTTCGGGAAGCTGGACTTTCTTTTCGGGCAATTGCAGTTAGAGTGCAAAGAAGTGTAGACACTGTGGTTATGTGTTGTCAGGCATGGCTTCGAGAAGGCCGTACGCAAAGAGCAAGGGGCACTGGACGCCGCCCTAGAACAACAGACCGTGAAGATCGCCGCCTAAGATTATTGGCCTTAAGGGACCGTTTCTCCACTACCAGGTCCATTGCAAATGAATGGTTAGCAGAACACGGAAGACCTATTGGCATGCGAAGTGTTTACCGACGAACGAGAAGTTTTGGCTTGTTTTCATACCGGCCACACTGGGTCCTCCCTTTAACGTGAGAACACCGACGTAATCGCCTTGAGTGGTGCAGACAACGGTCACTCTGGGATCAGGAATGGAACAGTATTGTCTTTAGTGACGAGTCTCGATTTTGTTTAGGCATGAACGATGGTCGTGCTAGGGTTAGAAGGCGACGTGGTGAAAGGAGGAATCGACAGTTTTTTGTTGAAAGACATGTTCATCACACTGTTGGAGTTATGGTTTGGGGTGCTATAGCTTATGGTTCCAGGTCACCTTTAATCTTCATCAGAGGTAACATGAACGCGCAGCGTTATATCCACGAAGTTCTAGAACCCCATCTTTTACCCTATCTTGACACTCTGGCAGATCCAACTTTCCAACAAGATAATGCCCGACCACATGTTGCAAGAGTCACAATAGACTTCTTTCAATATAATGATGTCACATTGTTACCATGGCCACCAAGATCTCCCGACTTATCCCCAATTGAGCACGTGTGGGATATGATGGGTAGGAGATTGCTCAATTTGCAACGTCCTCCTCAGACTCTAGAAGCACTTCGAGAGGAGTTGGTGGTTGCCTGGAATGAGATACCACAGGAGGACATTGACCACCTGATCAGAAGCATGCCTAGGCGCGTTGCAGAATGCGTAGCACATCAGGGTGCATCCACACACTATTAAAGGTCAAAGGGCTTTAAAGCAGTGCAATCATTTTGAAATTTTTATCATTTACTTATTATACTTCATTAAGTACTTATACAAAATATTATTAAAATAAAACCATTTAAACTGGGTGTTCGGATTTATATGTCACTTAGTATACTTTTTTGAACCCAACAGTCTCATTTTTCACCTTTTGTTCCATAATTCATTTCTTCGTATGTTTTGTTCACTTGAGTCCAAACAAATAGGATACCTATTTCAGGTGCAGTATTTGACTCCACTACTGCTTCCACCATCATATTAATGTCCAAGTTTAGACCACCAGTATCATTTATTTATCCATTTCCTCTCGACAAAAAACATTGTATACGAATTGACATACATTTACAAATCGAAAAAACACATAAATCCTATATCTAACAAAAAACAGTCAAATAGTAAAAAATAAGATTTAACGGCATATATCAGAATATTCTTCCACACTATAAAAGCTATTTTCAATTAAACAGTCTTCTAAGAAATTCTTAAATGTCTTTAGACTGTGGCAATTCTTTATTTCCAAAGAAGAAAATATCATTTACTTATTATGCTTCATTAAGTACTTATACAAAATTTTATTAAAATAAAACCATCTAAACTGGGTGTTCGGATTTATATGTCACTTAGTATATTTATGCAGGTACCATCAAAGGCTTGGGAATGAAAACATCTGGACCATAGTAATGTTAATACAGATTTGTTTGTAGGAAAATGTATGAGATTTATATAATAAATATATATTTAAATATTTGCAGTTATTGTTTTTCTTCTGAATAACAGCTTGTGTTATTGACGTTGCTATTTTAATATACAAAAAAGCACTTATTCGTCAAGATAGCGCAAAATGTTAATAACACATGCTGTAATAAGATATCCCATATCCCACCAAATTTATATACAGGGTGACTTCGAAGTTGAGTCATTTATTTTAACAGTGAGTAGATCTGATCAAAAGAAGTGTTTTTTTCCTTTAACATTTTTCTGGTAAAATTAAATTAACAAAGTTATAGCCCTTTAGAAGTTTGAGTACCGCCCTGTCTCAATAATAATATTATGTGCTCGTGTTTGGCGACAACGGATATAATCCGCCTTACCGGTTCATCGCATCGTAAACAAAAAAGCGAAAGAATTTGAAACGTTTATCACGATGTTTTTCGTCAGTCGGTAACGCGTGAGTGAATAGTGGTGTTTGTTGCGTGGCTCAAACGAAATAAAAAATGGCAAATGTTTAAATGCTGAACTTGTGGACATGATTCTTATTTACGGGGGGGGGGAGTCTTTACAAAATGCTGCCGCGGCATCACGGATTTGTGCGATTCGGTTCCCCAATCGAGTGCAATCAACCCCTCGTGCCTTTGTTAATGTAGTACAAAGGGCTCGTGAATCAGGTGACTTAAGACCTCACAGGGGAGGGCATGCCGGTTCTCCAAGACCGCACGATCAAATACAGGTCCGCACTGAAATACTTGTCGGGAGGATACTTTATAAAACAAGGTAACATTTTTTTTTAAATTTTTTTCAATTTTACACACATATTTTGGTTTATCTTCCTTCTACAATCATTATCTGAAAATTAATGACTCAACTTCAAAGTCACCCTGTATATAAAAGTATAGCAATCTCAGATTTATTTGTAGCGCTGGCAACGTTGCGGGGTATTAGTGCTCAATCTGGCAACTGTGTCGCACCCTCAATAAATGGCCACTGACAGCCACACAAGTCACCGTGTTGCCATTGAATAGCATGGAATTAAATGTTCTTCAGTGTATATGTTTTGTGGTGTATATGTTTTGTGTATATTAGCTTAAGTATACTGTAAATTTTGTGGATGTGTAACAATTTCGGGAATAATTCTGCAAGTGATAGTCTTGTAGATATTTCAACAGTTGTCTTGAGTGGCCATGTTATGTTTACGTGGGCCAAAATGAGTAATTACCAAATAAGCCAGTCGTCTGTAAGTATTAATAAAAGAACGGTTGTTCTCAAAACGTACGCAGTAATATGCCAAGTATCGGGTAAAGATATTCGAATAATACTACATTTAAGATCTAACCGATGGGTTCTAAATAATTGCTATATGTTACAGCTTTTGACCCTAAAGGCAGAAATACTACGCAAGCAGCAAGAACTATCTAAAGCAAAAGCTGATAATGAAGTTAAAAGAGAGATGATTAAAAAGAAGACACCTCTAGAGCTAAAAAATAAAGGCGATGAAGTAAGAAAGCGTTTTGATAATATAGAGGAAGACGAGGATTTGTTGAAACAATCAAGGTTCGTTATATATTTTTTGGAGTACTATTCTTAATACTCCAAACAGACTCTCACAGCCATTTATATGCATTTTCGTGTCAATTTTGTACTGTTGACATTAGTAGATCTGTTGCTATTTAGCGCTGCGGCTGGACCAGAGATAACTTCTAGAGATGGGAAACTCCAATACTAAAATAAGTTACCGTATTTTGGTGGATTGGTCTCACACCAGTGCTGAATAATGGGCCTTTCCATCTTAACAGGACACACCTAATGGGGCTTTTTACATTCTGTTAATAATTTATTATTTATTATTTACAAATTTACGGGATAAACCAATTCGGTTACAGGTTGTAAAAGTACAATCTTAACCTAATAAAATTCACACACATCATAAGTAAAGTATCTAATATATGAACATAAAGTTTGACTATTTACCAAATTAAAATATTAAAACGTGCATAAAAATAGTTACAAACAAATACTAAAAAAAAAAAAAAAACTAAAAAACTGAACAACTAAACAACACAGCAAACATCACCAGCAATTAAGACATTTTAAAACTTTAGCTAAGATTTCTATCTTTAAGGAACTTTTTGAGAGAGCATAGTGAAGTATTAAAAAGGTCTATATCACAGTCATTACAATTTCTCATTATCCTATCCATGCTACTATTCGAGCCATACAAAGTTCTATGCCGACAAGGTTCAAAGGATCTTCGTTCTCTTAAATGCCTAGGAGAAACATAAAAATTTAGCTTTAGAAGCAGGTCTGGGCAGTGGTAAACACCATGAATTAATTTATAAGCAAAAACAATATCTGCTGAATCTCTCCTGGCTCTTAGGGATCCAATCCGTAACTCCTTTTCAAGAGCATTATAGTCTAAATTCTCAATAGAAATGTGTTTTTTGTAAGCTATATATCGTAGAAATTTTCTCTGAACCCCGTCAAGCATGTCCTGATAAGTTACATAATATGGAGACCACACGCTGCTGCAATTTTCTAGATGAGATCGCACCAGTGAAGTATAGAGAGTTACTATAGCTCCAATGTTAGTAAATTCAGATGTATTTCTTTTTATGAAGCCCAACATTTTTAAAGCTTTATTTCTTATAACCTCTATGTTCTCATAAAATGTTACTTTGCTATCAAATATAACACCCAGGTCTTTAACAACATTCACATTTTGAAGTTGGTATTATTTATGTGATAACTGCTGACTATATTATTGTTAGACTTTGAAAATTGAATGTATTTACATTTGTCTGTGTTAAGGATCATTCTATTTTCTTCACTCCATTTAACAAATTGATCAAGGTCACTCTGAATCTTTAATGTTGAGTTATTATCAGAAAGAGGTAAATAGATCTTGACATCGTCAGCATAGATAAGAAAAGAACAGAATTTAAAACATTGGGCTATGTCATTGACACAAATTATAAATAAAATGGGTGACAAGTGCGCACCTTGTGGTACACCAGACAAGACAGCAATTGGATTTGAGAGACAGTTTTTAATTTTTACAAATTGCTCTCTTTCAGAAAGATAAGAACTTAACCAGTTCAATAAACTTCCATGCAATCCGTAACAAGAGAGCTTTTCAATGAGAATACCTATATTCAACTTGTCGAATGCTTTCCCAAAATCTGTATGAATTGAGTCAACAGATTGCCCATTTTCCAATGCCTCAACTATATGTGAATGATAAACTAAAAGGTTAGAAGTTATAGATTTTCCTTCACAGAAACCATGTTGCTGTGCAATTATAACATTTTTAAATTTTTCCTTCAAAAAATCTGCTACAAATGATTCAAAAACCTTTGGAATTAACGATATCAATGTAATGGGCCTGTAATTTTCAACATTCTCTCGATTTCCACAATTTTTAAAAATTGGAATAATGTAGGAGGTTTTCCATTTCTTTGGAAAAACTCCCAGTGCTAAAGATTTATTAAATAAAATCCATAAAGGCCTAGACAGTGAGAAAGCACAGTTCTTAAGAAACAATGCACTCACACTATCAGGACCCGGTCCCTTTGACAAGTCCAGGCTAGCCAGCTTTTCACAAATATCAGAAATTTTTATATATACACTGCTCAAATTTAAGTTTGGCGAGCTGAAACTTTTTGCAACAGTGCTAAGGCTCTGTGAAGGACTTGGTGTTTCATATACACTAGAAAAATGTTTAGCAAAAGCATTTGCAATTTCTTTGCCGCTATCAAAAGTTTCCTCATTATACTTAACAATTGATGGAATACTATTTTGATTATTTTTAGACTTAATGAACTTCCAGAAAACATTAATATTACCTTTTAGATTATTCTCAATATTTTTTATATAAAGACTATAATCTTGGTGAACCTTTTCTTTGCACAATCTGCGTAAATGACAGAATAAACCATAATCAATATTAGAATTAGTTCTCTTATATTTTGCATGCAGCTCTTTTTTTTCATAAATCATACTTTTGAGTTCAGGACTAAACCATGCAGGAAATTTAAAATTACTTTTTATTAGCAATCTTGGCACATAAGTATCAATACAATCATAGAGAACAGCATAAAAACATTCAACATCATTATCCAATTGATCAACCAATAAGGCATCCCAGTTAAAATTAATTAATAAATTGTTGATTACATTAAAATCTGCATTTTTAAAATCATAGATTTGTTCTTCAAATTGCAAAGGTTTATAAGAGCTAATATTTTGTATACTTACAACAAATGCTGGGTGATGTTTGTCACATGGCAGAAGTATATCATTAGCACAATTTACTTTAGTAAAATTAGAATTACTGGTAAATACAAGATCTAGTAAAACATTGTTACAATTTTTTATCGAGTTTATTTGAGTGCAGTTAGAAAACAGCATGGAGCTAACAAGAAGATCACCGGAGGCATTCCGTCTACCACTATCATGGAGGTTGGTTTCATCCAACATCTGAAGATGGGGCAGGTTGTAATCTCCCATGATGTACATGACATCAGAGCTATCACTGAAGTTTTCAATATTGTTGCAGTGATTTTCATATTCCACCAAATTGCTAAGGGGAGGAAAATATACTGCACAGAAGTAGGTGGACTTAATTTTACCAATAGATACAGAGACCCACACCTCTTCATGCCCAGATGTCAAATTCCTCAATTCGACTTGGTGCGATTTTAAACTTTTTGTGATCGCAATTAAAACACCTCCTCCTCTGGATTTGCCTGTTGCTATGTTGTCTCTGTCACATCTATAAATTGAGTAGTTCTGTAGCCCTAGTTCCGAGTCATTAAACTCTGGTGTTAACCAGGTTTCACTAAGTATAATTATATCATACGATGCCATGGACACATTGTTTGAAAATTCATTCAATTTAGTTCTGATGCCTCTAATGTTCTGGTAATAAATCCTAATATCATTGATAGGGTTAATTCCTGCGCCGTGGCTGGGCCTGCCTTTTAAAAAAGCGTCTACCTTGTGCTGATGGTAATGGTTGATTTCTTCTAGGGAAATTGAATGGCTTGACAATCACATTTTCAGGCCATATGTCGCTATTAAATAATGTATTCTTGACACCAGGTTTCACGGAGAGCTTAAAAGATGCCACATGTTGGTTCTGAGACGACAGTTTCTCACAGGTTAAGGCTTCAATGTTGTTGGACTTAAGATAATTTATTAATTGATCAGTTGTGGTTCCTGCTTCCAGGTTGCCTATATAACACCAGAACTGTTCCTCCGCTGCTACAATTCCAGTTGAAGTTTTGTTTGTACCCCTGACAAGAGTGTTAGAGTTACCAAGTTGTTTAGGACCTGTTGAATGTTCAGATTGCTTGATGGGACCAGGTTTAATGGAGACTGCAGTTGAGCTTGGAGGGCCATTGATAGAAACCAATGCATCATTGATAGCTTTACTCGTTTGCTCTTGTGTGATTTCATGGACTATTGGGGGCTTGGACAACTTACTTGCATATGTCTTCATCTCAATCTTCATGCAATTGAGAAGTTCCTTATTAGTTTCCTGGATCAAGTTAAGGTGTGAGCTCAAGGATTTGGTTAGCTCATTGTTGATCTTTTCAGTGAAGAACAACAATTTATCGTCAAGTTTATCGTGCAATAAAGAAGTGATGGATAGTGCATTCTTGTCTGAAAAGTTGTCATCCTTGTTTTTTAGGGATAAGTCTTCCAGAGATTTTTGTAATCCATCATGAACTAATGTCACTGCAGCCCTGTCTTTGTCCATATCAGCCTTATTTGCCTTCAGTTGCAGTTCATTTTCAGTATTCTTTACTCTCGCCTTGAGATTTGAAATCTCCTTCTTATGCAATGAGATTTCCTGCTGTAAGGATTGAATTTGCTTAAATGCTTGTAGTGATTCCTTGAAGAGCGGTTTACATTCAGGACAGGTGTAGACTAAAGTCCTATTAGAACTGGGGATTACTCTAATTTCTTGCGCTTGTAGAGAGTTGCATTTTTCACATGTGACTCGGTTACATAAGTCACAGGGATAGCCAAAAGTTCTGATCTTCTCTCTATCCTCCTTAAATATACATTCAATATTGCACTTAAAGCAATTAGCCATTGAAAATTATTAAAACAAAAACAATAATAAAATTGTTTTGTTTGTTTATAAATATCTTCTTCTTCTTTTGGAGATGTCACGCGTCACGTATTAATGACTAATATAGCAGAAATTAAACTATTCGGAGTGTTTTTATTACGTAAAATGGATTTCCATCAAGTAAAGGCAACCAGCGGTGAAAAAAAATTATAAATCATCTCTACTAGGGGCAAGGTTTAGTATAGTGCTATTCTGCCACGTAGTCACAACAAAAAAAATACAAAATATTAAAACTAAAATAAGTTGGAATGATATGATCAAGATTAAGTTGTATAAGGATATTGTGTATAAAATATAAATAACAATTTTACATTTGAAAGGAGCAAAATCTACATGGCATTTTTTTTTGAAGTGGTAGGTAAACGTAACGACTTCAGGTATATTTTGCTAAAATAGATGTCCTAACCAGTGTTCTAAATTTTTCATAATTTAGCGATTTCATGACTTGTGGAAGATCTTTCCAGGGGATGTGAAGGGAGGAATTAAAATTAAAGAAATAATTATAGTCAATCATTCATATACAAATTATATCACCTTTTCTCACAAAGCTAAATATAATAATAATGTCTTTAGAAATCCATCCACGCTGCAAGGCGAAGTTTATCCAGCTGGCTTTACTCTACCACTTAACCTCACAGTGCAGAAACACATACAAAAAAAAAGATTTAACAATGAGTAGGAATCGACTAACTAATATATACAATAATTAAGGCTTAAATAGAGTAATCTTAAGATGTTATAATAATAATAATAGCGTTTATTGTCCAACAGTTACCCCATTTATAGGACAATTACATAAGCACAATTCAATAATATTCAGTGGTGTTAAAAAAAAAGAAGTTATTTCAAATACAAATAAGCCATTCTAACTACTGAGTTAAGCGAACAAGTAAATATATCACAATGACAGCTAATACAATTTAGATGTTTACACATAACATATGTAGGAGATTTGACTAACATATTGGTCCTAGCCTTCTAATCAACCTTCTTGTAGATCCTAGTCTTCTGTTAGCTCTAGAGAGGTGACTGGCTATCTTATACAGCTTTTTAGCTTTTGGACTTGTACCTTATGCAATAATCCAGATTCTGTCCTTGAGTAACCTTGAAATAAAGAATGAAATTGATATTATATATTATTATTTTGGTTTTATATTTATTTACTCACATTGTTTGTTATCTTTGTACATTGAGTGAATAAATATTATTATTATTATTATTATTATTATTATTATATATGTTAAGAATTCATTACAACTGTATTTTTACAAGACAATAAATTCAATAAAATGTTCCATTTGTAAATAAATGCAAGTGATTGATAGTCAAAGTTGACCAAACTGCGTTTAAAGTTTATATTATGCTGATGTGATTTGAAATTAAAATTATTATTATTAGTAGGTATTATTATGTATAGAAACCAATGCTCTTGTCAAACTTTCAGAATTTTGAAGAACTTCTATTAAGATTTGCTTTTTTTTTGGAAAACAGTGTTTCCCTTGCTATAATAGGCTAAGATATTCATGCAAAATTACTTTACTCACTTGCTTCTGAATAATGCTCCTCAATGGGTTCTACTGTAGTTACATCAAGATTTTCTGGTTGTGAGGTGGTAACTGAGCAAACTTCTCCCAACAGTTGTGATGATGCTGAAGTTGATGGTTTTCCTGTAACCACACAATTTATACCATCAAAAAAAATTACATGATCAATTTTATAATGTTTCATACAGTTACTGTGCTATAATCAATAAACTGTTTTGGAGCCCATTCTGGGAATGATTGAAACAACTACCAATGAAATGTTTGCAGTTAAGATAATGTTATCTCTAATTTCCCTGTATAAATATTCACCTTATAACATTCCTAGTGTTAACTGGAGCTCAGTCTAACTTATTCCAAATATAAATGATTACCATCAATGAGTTGAAATGAGTTTTAAATGGAAAATATTAACTATATACTTCGCTTATTGAAGAAAGACACCAAACCCAACAATATTCACACATATTTTATGTGACTTGCTACATGCACTGTGTTGTCTGCCAATGCCAAACCAGGAGGGTGGAGCAGGAGACAACACGAAGGTGCATGTAGCCTCACCAGTCATGTAATAATATATAATAATTTAAATGACAAACTGATATATATATATATATATATATATATATATATATATATATATACAGGGTGACTTCGAAGTTGAGTCATTTATTTTAACAGTGAGTAGATCTGATCAAAAGAAATTTTTTTCCTTTAACATTTCTGTGGTAAAATTAAAGTAACAAAGTTATAGCCCTTTAGAAGCTTGAGTACCGCCCTGTCTCAATAATAATATTATGTGCTCGTGTTTGGCAACAACGTATATAATCCGCCTTATCGGTTCTTCGCATCGGAAACAAAAAAGCGAAAGAATTTGAAACGCTGATCACGATGTTTTTATTCAGTCAATGTGTCAGTCGGTAACGCGTGAGTGAATAGTGGTGTTTGCTGCGTGGCTCAAACGAAATAAAAAATGGCACATGTTTATGCGGATCGGTTTCCCAATCGAGTACAACCAACCCCTCGTGCCTTTGTTAATGTAGTACAACGGGCTCGTGAATCAGGTGACTTAAGACCTCACAGGGGAGGGCATGCCGGTGCTCCAAGACCTCACGATCAAATACAGGTCCGCACTGAAATACTTGTCGGGAGGATACTTTATAAAACAAGGTAAATTTTTTTTTTATTTTTACACACATATTTTGGTTTATCTTCCTTCTACAATCATTATCTGAAAATCAATGACTCAACTTCAAAGTCACTATATATATATATAGGTGAAAAATTAAAGCTTCCGCCTTTTGTTGGGTACTTCGACAAAATTTAAGCAATGAGGACTCTTTATACTTTTTTTAATTCTCTCTAGCTTTCAATGGACTTTGCCATCATCATCAGGAGCTGCAATTACAATGATAACAGTAGCAACAAAAGTGTAAAATGAATTTAAATTGAATCAACTTACAGTAGTATGTGAGGATGTTGCTAATTGTTGTTTTCGTATAGGATGAGGGAAACGTCCAGTAACATGGTGAGAGCTGGATACATGGTACAATCGTTAAAATTATATAAAATATGACAAGACAAGTTAAAGACAGATTAAAAATTATTTAGAAAACATTAGAGCATTACGTCGTGAAGCCACTTGACGATTGCACAAAATGGTGGTCATGGAATAATGAGTGAGATGGACCTTTGACAGAAGGCCGAAGGTTGTCAATGTCTGTGTTGAAAGATGGAACGAATTGTGGGCATGTGCCAAAACGTTGCCAAATCACTTCAGATGATGTGATTTTCAGAATGTTATGTAAGAAATTGTTAAACCGACCAGAGGCAGTTGAATAAACTATATTTTAATTAACGGGAATTTTAAATTAATAATTATTAATAAATCGTGAGAAGAGAATTATTAGATTTTGAGTGGAATGAAATTTTAATCTGTCTTTAACTTGTCTTGTCATATTTTATATAATTTTAACCATTGTACCATGTATCCAGCTCTCACCATGTTACTGGACGTTTCCCTCATCCTATACGAAAACAACAATTAGCAACATCCTCACATACTACTGTAAGTTGATTCAATTTAAATTCATTTTACACTTTTGTTGCTACTGTTATCATTGTAATTGCAGCTCCCGATGATGATGGCAAAGTCCATTGAAAGCCAGAGAGAATTAAAAAAAGTATAAAGAGTCCTCTTTGCTTAAATTTTGTCGAAGTACCCAACGAAAGGCGGAAGCTTTAATTTTTCACCTAACTGGTCTAGACGACAATGACCACGTCTCAAGTTTTATATATATATATATATAATTTAAATCATTTTGGTAAGCTGTTGAAACTGGAATGTGCTTTGAAGGCTTAACACAAATTCTCAAAGAACTTTAAAATAATCAAAGTTTTTTTCCAGTTGTATATAGTAAACCTAAGTGGTAAACTACTGTCTATAATTTGTGCATCAAGCACGATATAGATACGGTCATGATATAAAAACCAAACCATTTTCCATTTCTCCACACTCCTAAACCCAAATCCCATCGAATTTAATGATTGTACTAGATTCTCCCAACATATCGCATTTTGTCTAGCATCACCGTCACCATGTTTGAATTGTGGTCTAAAAATTGTGGGATGCTCTTCTCCAAAGACCACAATACTGCTACAATATTGAGGATGAATTTTAAAATTTCGTTTATCTGGAAAATGTTATTTGAAAATTAAATAGTTTGGTATTAAACTGAGACTTACCCATGGTACTTGTAAATGTTTATTATTTTTATATACATAACCCCACTTTTAAGAAATGTAGACAAGGACAACAGCCAAAAGAGGCAATAAGTACGCGTGTGTTAAAAAGAGACAAGAATAATAGAAAGAGGTAATAAGTCTTTCTATTCCTTTATACCGAACAATGCATTCGTGCAACCGGATCGCTACCGAAACACCTTACAAAATAAGGTGAAGTGCGACAGAGAGTTTATAGAAAGAAATTTCTTTCTTAGAGGATACAGAATACGCGTACAGTATCCAAATTTTGATTGAATCTTAATTCTCAACTGATTCTAATTCTAGTTGATTACTAGCCATTAATTCGATTGGCCTATTTAGAATTTGAATGTCTGCCATAACTTCTCAATTGCTTAGTTGAAAGCAACTCGTACAAGTCACCTGTGGAGACTGGATAGGCTTCTTTCTCTTGACAGTAAGGGTAATTTTGGTCACCAACCGTTCAGCTATTACTTGTTCCCACATTTTGTTGTGTTTGACTATTGTGGTAACTGGTTTATGGTCTTTATAAAAAGTTTATGCATGGTAATTTCTTTGTAGTATTGCTCTGCAGCAGAAAGCAAAAGTATATGAAGAGCTAAGTTCAGGAAAATTAGATCCAGCTGATCACAGAGCATTTCTAGTTCGTTTTGATAAGAACAGTAGTGAAGATGTGCCTCCTATTTGTTCTGATGATGTGCTTAATAAGTGTGAAGAGGATGCTGATGAGTGTTATGATACTGATGAGGAGTTAGATACTAGTGAAAAATGGTGAGTAAAGTAGTTGAAAATGTGAATTTCAAGTTAAAACAACTTAGCAATGAAAATGAACAGAATAAACCAATATACTGTGATACAGATATACTGATGATGGGATGTTGCACATAGAGTTGTTTGTATTCTCCTCAACTTACTTATAGTATACTTTGCAATGATATTCCGAGTTTTTAAGCAGCTCTACACAGTTTATAGAACGTTTTTCTTTAGCGAAGTGATAAAATTGTGATGTATGTATATAAACACAAAGCTAACATAAAAAATACTGTAGTGTGTTCCAAACATTTTTATGAAAGTGACATTAAGGTCAAATTAAAGCATGCTTTTGAGTATGAGGGTCAATCAAATATGAACAGGACTTTTCTGTTTAATGCGCCATAAGTGAATGGAGTGGGGCGACGTTTTGGTATATGTTGGGCGGGGATGTCAGAAAGAGGGGAGTCAGTCAGTTTGGCGCGCCGAAGTAGTTGAGCTGTTAGTAGCATCATGTCTGAGCCATAGTTGCACAAATCTATTGCACAACGCATTATCATAAATTTATTGCCGCGGGACGGCGTGAAAGCTTCCGAATCTTTGCGTCGATTAACAGCACAGTTGGGTGATAAGACAGTTTCAAGGAAATAAGTATACGACTCGCAAAAAAAATTCCATGGAGTGGCGAAGCCTGGAGAGGAAGCACCACGAAAAGCCAAGACCAGTGTTTGTACAGGAAAAGTTCTGGCAAGGGTATTTTGGGATTCCAGAGGTGTACCGCTAGTTGTTTTTCTTCAAGATCGCCGTACAGTTAATGCTGCTTACTACTGCCAACTGCTTAAAGAAGTGAGACTGGCCTATTGGCGAAAAAGACCAGACATGCCAATTCGAAGTGCCATTCTGCTCCATGACAACGCTCGGCTGCACACAGCTGCATTGACCCAAGAAAAATTACGCGAAATTTATTGGGAAACACTTGAACATCTGCCTTAAAGTCCCGATTTGTCGCCATGCGACTATCTCATGTTTGGGCCATTTGAAGAAGACCTGGGAGGTCACCTCTTAGGCGACGACGAAGGTGTGGGAACGTTCGTGCAGAATTGGCCACTGACACGACCAGCTTCATTCTTTGATGGGGGAATTAAAAGACGATCCGATGGAAAAATGTATCAATAATAAGAGAGGAGATTATGTAGAAAAATAAGATGTAAATAAAGTTGTATTTACTGTACCAATGAAAATAGTTAAACAAAAGTCGGGTTTATATTTGAATCACCCTTATAACATCTCAAAAAATAAAATGGGCTAAAAGATGATGGCATTCCTACAAAAATGTATCCCAGAGTTTTATCACCTGGGTTTTGGTATCTGGTGCTGGGGACAAGAGGAAATATTTGTGTAAAAAAGGCAAAGGGAAAAACACTCGGTGTGCTCAAATTTTTCAAGACATAATGAGACAGGTAAGCTTTTAAAATTTGAATATATAATTAGTTTATATTTAAGCATCACAGGGATGAAGAAATACCTGAGCCTGAAATTATTGAGGAGTTGTTCACTTCTTAGATATGGTTCGGCAATGTAGCTGGTAGTTTGGTTTTGGTCCAAAATATATTTTGTTTTTTGGTGTTGTTTCAAGTGTTAAATAGCCAAAAGTTCCAATACCATCGGAATTAAGGGGTGATAATTGATATACATTGAAGGCATCACTTGAAATATTGCTTTACTGCAAAAAAGTTTAATAATAACAACGTGCCACACAATTGAAATGCCTCAGTTCTGGGCTAGACATTGCCAGTTTTCCTTAGCGAAACTCCTTAGGCGTCAACATGGCTATCGTTACAAATGCAAAAATCAATGTACTATGAAGGGGGAAAAAAGGTCAACTATTTGGTTTTCCATGTGATATTTGTAGAGCAGTCGTTTGTGCCGATTGCGCTAATATTAGCCCATCAGAAGGTCGTGTCATGATAATGGAATCAAGGTCGTTATTCCTGTTCTGTCCAGATTGCATTGATAAAATGTTCAAAAATCTTGAAGAAGACTTGAAAAAAGCTCAAATTGTAGAAGTAGAAAAAACGCTGAAGAAGGTGGAAGATGATGTAAAGAAAATTAAGCTGATGAAGAAAGGTGATCAAATAGTTGAACTGAATAACAAAGTTGATAATTTTGAACAGCACCTGGGTATTGTTGCAAAGGAGAAAGGAAAAATGAAACATAGTGACCTAATTGAGAAAAACTTGAAGGAGATGATAAAAGTATGTATGAATTAAGTAGCTTGTCAGATTGATACTTTAAAAGTTGTTATTAAAAAAGAGAATGATGAGCCTGCTAAATCCCTTGGTAGTAGTTTTAGGAAGGAAAACAGAGTTTCTGAAAACTTTAACTGCAAATGCGTCATGCCAAACAGCCGTGCATCTGAAACGGATGGCCCTTTCACAATGAAAAAAGTTGGGCCTGCTGCTTCACGAGGAGTCTGCAATAAATACATAAATTTGACAGCTGCTAACTTACCTACCACAGATACAGGAGCTAACGAGAATAAGAGGACTAGGTTGAAAGAAAATAAACTAGCACATGCATTAAACAACACAATAAACGGCTCAAGTAAGGATAATTACTTTATATCTGCTGCAGAAGATTGTAGAACATTCTATGTGGGCAGTGTAAGTACAGAGTCATCATCAGAAAAGTTTAAGCGATTTTTTAAGGAGCACAACATACCAGTAATTGCATGTGATCAAATACTATCAAATAAACAAACTACATAATAGTGAATCCTTTTTCAGGATTTCCAAATAATAACCATAACAGCAAGCAAAATTTTCACAAAAGGAATCCGAGACTTTGGAGTCTGACATAAAATGACAACATAATAAACTTTTATTAATGAATTGCCAAGAAATGAACACTGCAAAATGTGCTCAAATTAACTGTGACCTCAGCTGTGACAATACGCTGCTTTTTCTATGCCTTACCAAGACCTGGGCATGTATGGAATCAAATAGGGCCTTAATATAATAAGAGCAAATGTTAATTATAATGTGATAAATCATGACAAGTTTTGTGAAGATAAGTCTTGAAGTTTGCGGGCTGACCTGTAAGTTAAATGGTGCTATGTATGTAATTTTGTCATACTTTAGGTCGCCGTCGTCTAGGGTGCAGTGTTTTTTAGTTCATTTCCGTGTAACTTTGTTAATTGTAATTTTAATTGTAATTGTTCTAGTGAAAATAAGAATTTTTTTGTCACGAATTCGGTCTTTTTAATATTGTAGCAGACCCAACAAGGGTCACATCAGAATGTCCTTCCACTTTAGATCTTATATTTGTGAACTTTCTGTGTGGAGATGTTATAGTGTCTGACAATTTAACTAGTGACCATAAGATGGTTTCTAAGAACACGGAACTAAGCCTAGCTTTCTTAGACCTGGAAAAAGCGTTCGATAATATTCCAAGGAGAATTGTGTGGAACAGCATAGCAAAACGAGGAGTACATAACCACCTAACAGAGTGTATACAAAGCATATACGACCAAAATAAATGCTATGTTAGGACGGATAACATGACGTCAGAGGAATTTATCATAGGAGATGGGCTGAGACAGGGAGGAGTCCTGAGCCCGATATTATTCATTATAATTATGGACGATGTAATAAAGGCTGTCAAAAGCAAAATTAAAAAAGTACATGTCGGTTTCTATAAAATGAGGCCAATAAATATTTCAGAGTGCGCATTCGCGGACGACCTGTTATTGTGCGCTAATACCCCAAAAGACTTACAAGATAACCTTAAAATCTGGATCCAGGAATTATCGAAGAGAGGTTTGAATATTAACGTACCTAAAACAAAAGTGATGACGACAGCAGGGGGGAATGGAATGAATATAGTTACGAGTACTAAGGGCGCACATATAGAACAAGTCAAAGCTTTCAAATATCTAGGAGTGGTAGTACAAGGCGATGGAACAATCGAAGAGGAAATGAATGAAAGATTAATGAACGCATCTGGAATGATGGATTGGCGAAAATACTCAAGAACAGGGGCATAAGTTGGAACGAAGCATTGCGCCGGGCGAGAAATAATGACGGCTTAATTTGTATATAATAACTAATTAGTATAGAGAATGAAATAATGTAATTGCACCTTATACCTACGGGTATATAAGGTTTTAGATAACATATATATATATATACATGTATATATATATATATACATGTATATATATATAACTTGAGACGTGGTCATTGTCGTCTAGACCAGTTAGGTGAAAAATTAAAGCTTCCGCCTTTTGTTGGGTACTTCGACAAATATTTGTGCAATCATCAAGTGGCTTCACGATGTAATGCTCTAATGTTTTTAAATAATTTTTAATCTGTTTTTAACTTGTTCTTGTCATATTTTATATAATTTTGACCATTGTACAATCTATCCAGCTCTCACCATGTTACTGGACGTTTCCCTCATCCTATACGTAAACAACAATTAGCAACATCCTCACATACTACTCTCCTGATGATGATGGCAAAGTCCATTGAAAGCTAGAGAGAATTAAATAAAGTATAAAGAGTCCTCTTTGCTTAAATGTTGTCGAAATATATATATACTAAGTGACATATAAATCCGAACACCCAGTTTAAATGGTTTTATTTTAATAAAATTTTGTATAAGTACTTAATGAAGCATAATAAGTAAATGATAAAAATTTCAAAATGATTGCACTGCTTTAAATCCCTTTGACCTTTAATAGTGTGTGGATGCACCCTGATGTGCTACGCATTCTGCAACGCGCCTAGGCATGCTTCTGATCAGGTGGTCAATGTCCTCCTGTGGTATCTCATTCCAGGCAACCACCAACTCCTCTCGAAGTGCTCCTAGAGTCTGAGGAGGACGTTGCAAATTGCATATCCCACACGTGCTCAATTGGGGATAAGTCGGGAGATCTTGGTGGCCATGGTAACAATGTGACATCATTATGTTGAAAGAAGTCTGTGACTCTTGCAACATGTGGTCGGGCATTATCTTGTTGGAAAGTTGGATCTGCCAGGGTGTCAAGATAGGGTAAAAGATGGGGTTCTAGAACTTCGTGGATATAACGCTGGGCGTTCATGTTACCTCTGATGAAGATTAAAGGTGACCTGGAACCATAAGCTATAGCACCCCAATCCATAACTCCAACAGTGTGATGAATATGTCTTTCAACAAAAAACTGTGGATTCCTCCTTTCACCACGTCGCCTACTAACCCTGGCACAACCATCGTGCATGCCTAAGCAAAATCGAGACTCTTCACTAAAGACAATACTGTTCCATTCCTGATCCCAGAGTGACCGTTGTCTGCACCACTCAAGGCGATTACGTCGGTGTTCTCGAGTTAAAGGGAGGACCCAGTGTGGCCGGTATGAAAACAAGCCAAAACTTCTCATTCGTCGGTAAACACTTCGCATGCCAATATGTCTTCCGTGTTCTGCAAACCATTCATTTGCAATGGACCTGGTAGTGGAGAAACGGTCCCTTAAGGCCAATAATCTTAGGCGGCGATCTTCACGGTCTGTTGTTCTACGGCGGCGTCCAGTGCCCCTTGCTCTTTGCGTGCGGCCTTCTCGAAGCCATGCCTGACAACACCTGACCACAGTGTCTACACTTCTTTGCTCTCTAACTGCAATTGCCCGAAAAGAAAGTCCAGCTTTCCGAAGTCCCACTATACGGCCCCTATCAAACTCACTAAGTTGACGAAATCGTACAGGTCTCCGTACTCTAGGCATCGTAACCGATCGTAAAGGATGTCAAGAACCAAAATCCGCCAACGTTGATTCTTTACTGCGGCTGAAATATTCATTTTTAGAGCGTTAGTGAATTAAAAAAAAGCAGTATAAAAACCCGAATGTCCAACTGATAAGGCTGAACATTTTTTCACTTGTTATTTACAGTAAGATAAATCATTCACCAACTTTTATTAAAATTAAACCATTTAAACTGGGTGTTCGGATTTATATGTCACTTAGTATATTTAGTGAAAGGTAAATGAGCAAAATGGACATAAAAAGGAATGTGAGTGAAATTTCAAGTGCTATTTTCTATGTATGGTATGCTGCTGCTCTTAAGCAGGGGCTTTCCGTCTTCTGTTCCATAATGGTGATGTTATAGGTACTCAAAAACAAAACTTATTCAGTGAGCTACTGCAGAAGAGTAGTACGAGTAATATTGACTGCCCTATAAAAACAAGAATGTCCTTTTGCCTCAAAACACTTGACAAAACTTTAAAGGATCAAAGTAATCATAAAAGAAAATTGAAAAAAGTTGTTTTTTAGTTTAAGTATATACCATTTCTTGCTATTGTGAATTGAATTTTATTATTTTCTACAATGTTTTCTATATATTTCTGAGAACACCATTGGTTGTTTGTGTCTACATGTATACACTGCACCATTCAAACCCCATCTTTACGGAATCTTATTGTTGTTTTTGTCCATATCGTAATATCCTTCAATACTCTTTCTGGTATTTTCCCCAAAAATTCTTGTGTGTCTGTATTTCTTGCACTTCTCCTTCAAGGTCTAGCCAAAAATGTTAAAGATAAAAATTTTACAGTAAAAGTAAAACTTAAAGTAGGATGAAAATCCTGATATGATTACCCAAAATTAAGGTTGTACTAGGTTTTTGAATGAACTTGGACACCCTCTATGTTAAACTTTTGTTCACACTTATTTTGCAGAAAATATACACAATATACATATCTCCCTAAATAAGAATCACTTCATGCGCGCGGAAGGCGAAAACTGAACAAGGGAGCATCCGGTCATGTGCGGTGGCCGCTGTAGCAGACTCTTCGGTCTCCTGATCAGTCGCCGTGCGCTGTGCGGGTTCGAGTCCCGTCCCAGGAGAAATTTTTCTCTTGGCTATGGATGTTGTGATTGTCCGTAGGTGGTAGACGGTCTCTGACTGTCGAACGCGGATGTACCACCCGGCGGATCTCGTAGGCGGAGCCAGAATGTGTCCATGTTGCATGCACACGTGTTCCCTCGCCAGAGTCCGTGTGGCGGTCCCCCCTTTTCCATGTATCCCCCTATAGCCCCACGGTACCCAATGGGTGCTTAGGCCTTAGGCCTTCGTGGTAGTTGGAGTATAAAAAAAATGTCCAAATACCAAATAGCCTATTATTTAACAAATGAAGCTGAAAGCACTGTTTAGATAACTTGAAGCATGTGTCGAATAGCAAATCAGACAATTATTGGCTATGCTGGCACATATGTACATTTGTCAAAATGTTATATTTATTATTTTGCATGGAATAATTCAGTATTCAATTACTGACATTTCCTGGACGTGTACTCCCTGGCAATGAGCCTGTTTGCTTTCCATCTCTGTGACCAACCATATTTGTCACTTGCTTGTTAGCAATCATCAGTATAATATAGTTGAGATAGACAACAGAAAGCAAACAAAAACAGCACATTTGTGGTCTACCGAAAAACTCGGTAAGTAGCGAGCATCAAGGTCCCATACAATCGCAATATACCTACGTCCCAGTATTTCTGAAGGACAGCCCGCTCAAGGAATGAAAACATGGCAGCAACTTTTTGTCGGTGCATCGCCATCTGGAGTAACATATCTGTGTCCAATAATGTACAATCAACAAATGCAATATTTTGAAATTCAACCTCTTCGGAATGTGCCGCCATGCAAAGCCAAGGTGGATATCTGAGCGACGTGATATCATATCTAAAATGTCATTCTACCTCACGCACATATTGTTTTATTCCATTTCAACATCGGGCATCCTTATCGACAAACTAGTTAGTTGATTTATTCAAGTTTATGTCAAAATGTGCAAAACAAGTTATGCTCTTATATTTCTGTTTGGCATTTGAAGGGTGACATATACAGATTGCCTAGGAAGAACAAGACAATGCATGGCTAAAGACCTGGAACACATTAAACGAAATGATAAAAAATTGCGGGAAGTGGTTGAGAAGAAACGAATGCAGCATGGTAGAGAAGAAGAAATAGCAGCAAAGTCCAATGAAGTTACGGAGAAGAATGAACATGTAGAGGAAGGAGAAGCATTGCCAGAGATGATGTCAGATCAGTTGAGAAACGAGATATTGCGAAAACAGTGGGAGAAAGACGAGGAACGGCTAAAGGACAAGAAGGACGTTCATTATCAGGATGTGCTTTTTGGAGGTAAAATCATTCACCCAGCATGGACATGAATTATCCAACTAAGGCCCGTTTTTTCAACCGCAGATTAACATTCAGGTTAGGTAGCTAAGAATTGGAAATTAACTTTCACTTGCCAATAATTCGTTTTTCCAACTTCTGGTTAACTGAAACGTAATTGTTGATGCGGCAACGCTGCGTCGACCTCTGAACTTTCATGTTTCGTGATACTCTATGTTTGTGTCTCGTGCCATCCATTGACAACCTATGTCACTATCAAGGATATAGGTTAGACAGTGAAGTGTAACTACGTAGTCGTGCCATAAGTTCTGTCCCATGATAAAAATGAAACAAGATAAGATATATTTATATGAAAGATATAATTTATTCGACAACATTTTTAGAATTCATAATCAAACAGTTTTATTCAAAATGTCCCCCCTTGGCCTTCACACACTGCTTCAATCTCGCGGGCCACTCATCTATCACTGCACGCACAGCTTCCAAAGGAATAGCTGCCGCTGATCGGATCAAATCCGCTTTCAGGGACTCGATATTACGGTGGGCTTTGGAGCAGGCCAACTGCTCTAGCAGGTCCCACAACTTGTAGTCTAAAGGATTGAGGTCCGGACTCCCTGAGGGCCAATCTTCCGCAGCAATGAACTCTGGCACATTGCTTTCCAGCCAGCGCTGCGTACTCTTAGCCTTGTGAGCGGGGGCGGAATCCTGCTGGTAGACCCAGTGTTGGTTGGCAAACAATGTACCACTTAAAGGCTTGACGATAGGATCCAGTATGTCGCTCTGATAGTTTGCCGCTTTTGTTTTCACGCCCTGTTTACAGAAATGTTGCTGAGTGACCCCTTCGTAGGACACCCCCCACCAAACCATGACTGACGCAGGGTGGTGGCCTCTCTCAACTCTCGGAATGATCTCCGAAGCTTCCTGTGAACTCCTTGCATACACTTTGTCATTTTGTGGGTTGAATTTTTCTTCTATGGTGAAGATTTTCTCATCCGTGAACAAAATCTTTCGGAATCCCCCAGCTGCGTACCTCTCCAAGAGCTTCTTGGATCTTGTCGCCCTGATGTGTCGCAAGGTGGCCGTAAGTCGCTGGCCCGTACGTCTCCGGTAAGCCCCTAGCCCTAGGTCTTGTTTAATGATGCGCGACATCGTCCGGACAGGAATCTTCATTTCCCTGGATAGGATCTTCTGCTTCCGGAGTGGATTCCTTTGAATCCTGGCTTTTACGGCTTTGATGGCTGCTGGAGTCCTTACTTGACGAGGTCTTCCGCTTCTTGGCCTGTCATCAACAGAGGACGTCTCATTGTACCGCTGAATGGTCCTAGACATAAATTTACGCGATATTTGAAGGCCGCGTAAGAGTTCAAAAATCTGACTAGCACTGAGATTACACTTATGTAAAGCTATCACTGCAATACGGTTCTCTGCCTTGCCCCACTCCATCGTTATGCTTCGAGAGATCAATACAAACTGAGGTATATGTAATTACCCGAAAAGCGCTTAATCAACTGACACCACAATGTAAACAATCGGACAAGTATTAACAGGTCTACACTTGTTTGAAAACGAGGGACAGAACTTATGGCATGACTACGTACAACGTTCTATTCATCCCATGATCTTCTTGTTGAAGTTAACCTTACTACAAACCTGGTGTTGGAAACAGGTTTTTGAAAGGTTAGCAGTAAAATTACAATCAACGTACTATTAATAAGCCGGACCTAAAATATTTAGTAATCTCAAAGAAGTATCTATAGTGATAATAGTTTTTCAACAATAGCTCCCCAGAGATTTTCAAAAATAAGCTACTTAATCTTGATGTGAATGGCATTTATGCCAGGCCAAAACAAATGGCTGTTTGATCGCACAATTTTTGCTATATCAGACAGGACTATGAAAATATGGCATATAAGAGCCTGCATAGGTTTGCGTAAATGCTTTTTGCATAGAGATTGGTATCGTCATACATTCTAATGTACTTTTTCCAAATTTCCACTGTGATACGCTTACAACAGTTCATTTACCCTATCTAGGGGGTCTTTCGAAAATATGAGGCAAACATTCAAGAGGTGCTTTTTTGGTCGTTTCTACGGACATGGGCATAGTGGAGTAGTTTATTTTGCCAATCATCTCGCCATATTTAGGCACTACTGTCCCTTTGGTAGCTGCATTTTGATAAACACAATGGATATGTCATCCTTATTATGAGAGACACAGATAGCTTTCAGTTAAGTCTAGTTGCGATCTCAGTAATGATGGCGATGGTGATATGCATTGAAGTTTGAAACGTCCGTACCATAAGGCTATCTTGTTCATTGATGATCTTCTAAATACGGGTTTTTTGAGGATACAGAACGATCAGAAGACTTTATTACCTAGTAAAACTACAGGCATAATTTTTAAATATCCTTCGCGCTTCACACATACATAAGCAATCAGCCACTATGCGCGGACGCTTGTTTATTAACCCATTCTCGGCCAAACTTTATTATTTTTTTTTTAAGAAATTTTAGCTTTAGCCTAGGCAGCTTGTATGTGGAAAAATAGTAAAAAAAATCTTTTTGAACATTTACAATCGCCACAGGCGAAAAAAAAATGTTCCAAATTTGGAACTTGGCGTCATAAGGGTCTTGTTGGCTAATTATTAAAAAATAAACTAAAGTATCCATATAACATTTATTTTTATTTTATACACTACGAAGATGCACTTTGATGAAATATTTTAAAACAATCGAGTGGATGTACATTAATCATACATATACCACAACCAAATGTAGTATTTTTTTTGCAAACTTTCCATCTATTTTGTTTCATGGAGTTTGGGTAGTGCAAAACAGACATATTCTTGGAGACTGCCTCAGGAACCTTTAGAAATATAGCTCCGTCTTGTCTTTGTGCTCTGGGACTCAGAAGTAAATATGTTGATACAATGTATCTGATAAAGCCAAGTAAATCAAGAGAACGAGAACTGTCCATGAATTCATCAGCACTAGATTTCTTTTTTTCTCATCTTTTGAGATTCTGTATAAGATCCAAGCATTAGAGACCGAAGCGCATAAAAGATGTATAAAAACTTGCCACCACCATTTATTATTACGCAGTTGCGGGCGATAATTAGAAATATTTCTATCCATTAAATCTGTACCACCCATATTAGTATTGTACTGCTGAATAGCATGAGGCATCTCTACCATAATATATTTTTTGTCAGCAGCAGAATAACGGCGTGCTGCTTTTGTGGGCTGCAAGACAAAGCAGTTTGAAGCAACATGGACTATGGAGTTATCTTTCCATTGCATAACAATAACTTCTTTAGTTGAATTAACGTACGAGTCCATAGAACCCCTATGCGATTTCTTCATTGCAGATTTATTTAGAGGACATTTTTCTAGTCTGTTTTGCCGGATCGTACCTGTGCATCCAAAATCCATTTCACTTAATTTTTTTATCAGTGGAAGACCCGTGAAAAAGTTATCTATAACGAAGTTAAATTTTTGATCTGGAAATCGCTGTTTCAATTTTTCTGCAAAGGTGTAAACAACAGATGCTCCTAGGCCAAGGTCACTATCTCCTAATATTGTTCCTTGCCTTGATATGGTTTAGTGTTCACAAGATAAGCGTTTGATACATTTGCAGACCAAAATTTGAACCCATATCTAATAGGCTTTCCTTGAATTCTTTGCTTGCAACTGTGGTGACTATAGTATGGTACCATTGATTCGTCAACAGATATTGATGTGGTTTGAGTAAGAGGGGTATGCTGTAGAAAAACAGTGTTTAGGTGGTTGATCAGTGGCCTTACTTTCCCAAATTTGTCATTGGCTGGCAGCTGAGTGTTATTTACAAAGTGCAAATTTCTCAAAATATTTCGGAATTTATTTCTTGACATCCCCTTAGCAACCGCTTCATTGAGAAGATCAGAGTCCATACTCCAATACATATCTTTCCTGGGCCTTTTAGAGTAACCAGAAATTAGCAAAATTGAGAAAAAAACCTTTAGTTCTTCCACGGTCACAGTAAAAGATGTGTTTGCATTTTTCTGGGTAGCATACAATATATGTAGTTTGTTCTTTTATGTTTTCAAAAAAAGCATCAGTCCAAAATAATTCGAAAAATTGAATAGGATTTTCTTTTGAAACCAGGTTATTATATGTGTCAGATTCTATTACATTATTCAGATTCACAGAGTTTGGTAAGTCTTGCTGATACCAGTTTTCAAGTTTTGACTTTGACTTGAATTTTTTGCTTTTGGGTACGTATTTTACTAAAGGCTCATCGTCATCACTGCTGGATTCTTGATGCTGCTTACTGCCATGTGATACAAGAGTAGCTTCAGCTGGTGCACCTAATATTTTTTGAGAAAATTTCTCACAAAAATCCCCTTCATTTTCATTTCCTGAGGCTTCAGAGTCGCCCTCAGAATCCTCCATTGGTGGACTTATAGTATATATATGTTAGCTGATTCAAAGTGCTCTTCATGCAGTTTGTCAATGAGTCGGTTCAAACTGGTTGAACAGGTGGATTTTTTTCGTAAAAGGTTTTGCAATCCATAACCTAAAATAAATACAAAAGTGCAATAGAAGTAGCCATGTTCCATTATTGGAACATAACAAAATGTGACGATAGAAGGTACAAATGAGAAAAGATACTTATTTTACTCAAACTTACCAATAAAACAATAGCCAGACCTTGCTTCTGTTTATAGAGAACTTCAATTTTTCAGCAGTTTGTATTGTTTACGCGCCAGTAATAACACAAAAAATTGTTTTAAAAATAAAATAACCTAGCTGCATTGGTATGTTTACTGCCGTAATATAACCTAAAAAGTTTACTGAAAACAGGTGCTCCCGATGCTGTGAATTGCTAACAATGGTTCTGATTAATACTTGTGCCTCCATCTATTCAACTACATCCCAAAATATCGCGTGTTCCAATTTTGGAACAATGCTGCGAATGGGTTAAGCTCACAGTCATACATTTTTTAGTTTTGTCTCACTGTCTTGTCTTTGTATGAGTCTTCCACCTTTATGCAAAGGGTACTATAATAGTTTTGCAATACAGCTTTACTTATTGACTTCGTTCTAAGTAATTTTCACCACATTTAAGACCCTTCTACATCCACTAAAACCAGTCCTTAAATCAACTCAGCCAAGTTACACCCGGGAGTGCGGCACAGTCGTTGTCCCAAGCCCGCGCAAGGTCCTCATTGCTAGAAAACCGTTTTCCTTTTAGCTTCATTTTCACATGCGGAAACAGCGCAAAGTCGCAGGGAGCAAGATCGGGACTGTAAGGAGGGTGCTCAATAAGTTTCAGTCCAGTAGTAGTCAAATACTCGGTGCAGGCTTTGGCGCGGTGAGCTGGATCGTTGTCATGGTGGAGGTACCAAGTGTTCGTTCTTGATTTTGGCCGCAGGTTTTTCATCGACTCTAGGACGTTAGGCAGAACTGTTCCGTGTACCACTTAGCTGTGACTGTCTTCTGGGTGTCCAAAACGACACGCTCCACAATCCCGCTCGATTTGAAATATACAGCTATCATGTTTTCTTAATAGATCGGGATTTTCTGACATCTAAGGGCGTGTGTTCTCATCATCAAAGACCCAAATTTTGGTTTGGGCCTTGGTCGACACATCGTAATAATAGAGTCAAGTCTCGTCACCTGTCACGATTGCCACTTATCAAATATTTTCAGCATTTTTCGGCACCAAGTCGTACGACAATTCTTCTTTTTCGTCAGACTATGCGGTCCTCAAAGAGAACAAAGTTTCCTTACGTGTAAATGATCATGCAGAATGGAATGAATTGCTGGTGCATTAAGGTGTAAGGTCTCCTCTATCTGTTATGTCACTCTCCGGTCTTCGTCAAGCATTTTCCTCGCAGCAGTAATGTTTTCCTCCGTTACTGACATTCGCGGCCTTCCTTCCCTCCCAGCGTCCACCAGAGTGAAATTACCCCTTTGTTATTCTCTGTACCATCTGAATATAGTCGTACGATGAGGATAATCATTCTTTAATACAAGTGTCATTTCTTCTAAGCACTGGTCTATGCTTAAACACGCGTAAAGTTATATAGTAAAACTGCCCTTATCTCACTACGTGATCGCGACGCCATAGTCCGCACTTTACACTGTCAATACGAATGAACAACTAAACCAACAGACGTGCTGCTGGCGGCTTCTATGCACTCGTGGACATGCCAAACTGTAATCTTAGATTCTGCACCGATTAATTATCTTGGCTTTCCAAATTACGAGGTGCACTCCAATCTGTGGAAGAACCGAGGAGTTGTGGCTTTTGTCCGCAGCAGTATTTCCTGCCCCAGAGACATTTCTTTGGAATCAGGCCGGAAGGGCATTTTGTGGCTTCGCATCAACTCCAAAAGTCCCCCACATTTATTTGCTACCTTTATCGCTCTCCCTCGGGCCATAACTGGGATGACCTACTTGAATACCTCGCTGTCAAGATCGTCTTCTTGAACATCAATCACCTTGTTTTAGAGGCAACGTATGTCCTAAAAGTTTTGGCACAAAATTCATTGGCTTTAACACAAAATAATATCAAGTTGCCGTTAGAAACAAAAGTTTTTTTACTTACTTTACTGTCAGTTGACATTTATTTATTTTGAGGTTTTCGCTTTAAGATGTCGTATAAATTAGAAATAAGAAAAAGTACCTACAAGTTGGTTGGGCGGTTACCCAAAGCTGAAATCTGTCGAATATTCCAGAATGAAAACGTTTCTCGCAGAACCATTTATCGAACAATAGCGGAATACAAGCAGGGAACACCATGTCTGAATCTCCCTAGACTACGTGCAGAGGTCAGAGAGATTGGTGAGAAGAGCAAAAAATCAGATTGGAATGTCAACAAGGAGACTGGCTCGTCAATTCATATCTTCTAAGATTACGATATCGTAGGAATTGAGGAGGAATGGTCTTAAATATCGAAAGAGACTTGAGTGCCCCAAATACTCTCAAGCGCAACTCCTTCGTATACCAAGAATCTTGCAAGCATCTATGCTGTCTTCAACACTTTGCCAATGGAAAAATCATTATTTTAGATGACGAAAAGTATTTCACTTTGAGTAATTCTGAAATGAAGGGAAACGACGAAATTTAGAGTAATGTCCTGACAATGTTAGATACAAACATAAAGCGAAATTTGCAGATAAAATCCTTGTTTGGTGCGCAATTTCTAACAGAGGTGTATCCCAACCTGTTGTGGTAGTAGTGAGGGGTGAAGCTTTGAATAGTCAGCACTATGTTGATAACTGCCTTTGCAAATTGCTTCAGTTTGTCCACGAACATATCATGTTTTAGCCAGACCTAGCATCATGCCATTAGTCAAGAGATACCCAAAACAGGCTTCGACAACGCAACATACCTTTTGTTCCCAAAAACGATAATCCTCCAAACTTGCTGCAGGCTCGCCTAATAGAGGATTTTTGGGCTTTACTGTCTAGGAAGGTTTATCATGGAGGCAAGAAACCCAAGATGAAGAACAATTAAGACGGCGAATTTACGAAAAAGTGAGAGAAATTGAATTCCCTCCAGGATCTCATGAGAGACATTCGAAGAAAGTTGCGTCTGATGGAGAAGAATGGGCCACTCCACATAATTCGATAGTATAGTCTAGTTAAAGTATCGAGTTGCAATTTATGATAACTAGTTAGTGTTTAAATAAATTTCTTCATAAAAAAATCCGATAAATATTTTATGCCAAAACTTTTAGGTCATACGTTAGTTCTCTTGGATGATTTGAATGCCCATAATGAGCTCTGGTTAGGCTCAAACAAGACCGATGCAGCAGGTCGTGCTGTTGAAGCATTTGCTATTATCCAAGGACTGATCCAGCTGATGACGAGCCCTATTTTTTCCCCCGCGTTTCGTCACACGCCATTAGCCCGCTGGATCTCTTTCTGACCACTCATCCTGTTCCTTACAGAACTGCTACCCTGTCCCCCTGAGTAACTCAGACCATGGTGGTGTGGAGGTTAGGTTTCGGTCAGAACCCTCTGTGGCAACAGAAACTCGCCCAAGCCGCAAAATTTGTCATTTACTACTGGGAGGGGCTCAGAGACTTCTTCTCTACCTTTCCTTGGAGAGATGTTTGTTTCGCTGATCGACCCTTACCACTACAGGCCTATAGCTCTGCTGCTAGAGTACCTCGAACGTCACTACTTCATTAGCGACAGACATTGTGATTTCAAACACCAGCGATCCACGGAGGACCTCGTAGCTTACATCACGCTGTGGTGGAGTAAACTCATTCAGTCTTATGTTGAGGCTCATGTCGTTACTCTTGATATCACGAAAGCGTTCGATCAGCTGTGGTATGATGTGCTCTTATGCTAACTTCGATTCTATAGCCTCCCAGAGAAGCTTTTCAGATGGCTGGCTGACTTTCTCTCGGGTAGCAACATGCCTGTCGTAATTGACGAGCTATCCTCTTCATCCCACAATGTCAACGCTATTTAAAAAATGTAATTTTCTAAAGTTCTGCCCACTCTCTATTTTCAAACACAAGCAACAAATAATCGTATAATCGTAGAATAAAGTAAAAAATCGCCTTTTGAATGTTTGCTCCATGTTTTGGAAACATACTTGATTTTTTTTTGTAAAATGATAATTTCTGCGCTCGCGGACCGCCCGATGTCACAGGATTCTAACACGAGCATACATATATGAAAGAATGCATTTCAATGTATTTATTTGATATCTGATTAGGTACTTTTTTATAAAAAATGCATCTGATGCATGTATAATACAGGTAAACTAGAAGGACGATTTTGTCAGTAGCTTTAGAAACTAGTACTTTGTTCGCTTATGCTTAAGCTGGAGTACACTATGCTGAATCTTAATCTCAAGATAAAAATTGGATTAGCAATGTCATGCTTAAAGTGCGCAGACGCCTTCTGCGCATTTGGAACAGTACAATTACTGCTAGAAACGCTAAGTGACAAGGAATTACATTTTTTGTTTTAACTCCTTGATATCCCCTTGATGTTTTGTGATTAGATGAGATGATAATTGGTTGACAAAAACAAGTCTAACCGCAAAGGCTTTCATCAGTTGTTTTGATCAGTTGTGTTCATCAGTTTCGCGAAACTCCCCTGCTTACGCTGTTCTACTTGGAGATTGAAAAACGTGCAGTGTGACATACTACTAAACGAGTATGAGAAATATGATTGTTTATGTGCTGTAAAAAGCAAGACCTATAAAAACAGATTCGCCAAATAACCTGCGTTGGATAAAATCAGAATTACTTTAAAACCAATTAGGTCCATAAGCAGGTGGATCGTCGACTAGAAGTTTCTTGTTCAGCATGTGGAGCATACCTACAAACCGGTTCCTCTCCCTGATTCATTTTAGTCGCATATTATACAATGTGTTTGGTCACGACATACCGATATTTAAGGGGGGTATTTTTCAGCTATTTTTATCGTCAAATCCACCCCTCTACAATGTCCTACCTCCCCCCTCTTGAAATGGCATCCATTTTTATTTTTACGATACGATTACGCTAGTGCATGTATGAAAAATGTAATAACTGAGTACATAAGTGTCACAGAACGACAAATTTGGTGTCAATTGAACAATAGCATGTTGTTCTAGCGATTGTTGAAAAACTTGTATTGATACTAACCGTCAAACTTAAAAACACACAAAACCCGAAAAAAATTTTGTGCATTTCCGCACACCATTCAAAAACTAGTTTGTGAAGTTGTACTTTTTTGTGCTAATTCTACAGCTATTTATGTTATCTACAAAATGACACCAAATTTGTTTCCTAAGTCTTCTACGTTAAGTAATATATCTATCTAACATGGGTCAAAGTATACATAAAAATGACAAATCAAAGTTTCTTATAAATAATTCAATGTCACAAAAAATTCTATGGAGGGACGAAGCAAAATTTACGAGGTAGGGGATCATAAACCATAGAAACAACCACTTGTGGTCTTCGGAAACCGCTCACGCAGTTCGACTGAGCACTTTCCAACAGGAATTTGATGTAAACATTTGGGCTCGAATGATCGACGGAGTTTTAGTCGGCCCAGTTGAGCTACCTCCAAGGTTAGATGGCCAGGGATTTTTGGACTTCTTGAGTACCGAGTTTTCAGATCTACGCCACTTATCAACCACCGCAACATATGGTTGGAGCTCCCACACGCTTTTGCGCTAGAACATTTGGATAGTCAACATTCTCCATGGATAGGACGTGGAGGCACTGTCGCTTGGCCACCCCGATCACCCGATTTAACGCCCCTAGATTATTTTTTCTGGGACACATTGAAGCAAAAAGTCTACTGTCATGTGTCGACGACACGGGAAGAGCTCGTGGAAAGGATCCATACCGCTGCGAACGAAATTAGAGCTGACACGGATATGACCCGCTGCTCAACACGACACATTGTTTTAACAACTACAATATGCATAACCAATAATGGAGAGCATTTTGAACAGCTTCTGTAACATTAAACATGTCCAAACTATTTATAAGAAACTTTGATTTGTCATTTTTATGTATACTTTAACCCATGATAGATAGCATTTATTACTTAACGTAGAAGACATTTGGTGTCATTTTGTAGATAACAGAATTAGCACAAAAAAGTACCACTTCATAAACTAGTTTTTGAGTGGTGTGCGGAAATGCACAAAATAATAAATTTTCTTGCATATTTTTTTCTGTTTTTGTCTGTTGTTTGACGGTTAGAATCAATACAAGTTTTTCAGTAATCGCCAGAACAACATGTTATCGTTCAAATGACACCAAATTTATCATTCTGTGACTCTTATGTTCTCAGTTATTACAATTTTCATACACGCACTAGCGTAATCGTAACGTAAAAATAAAAATGGCTGCCATTTCAAGGGGGGTGAGGGAGGACAATGTAGGGGGGTGGATTTGTCGATAAAAATAGCTAGCCCCTTAAATATCGGTATGTCGTGACCAAACACATTGTATATGCCAATTACAGAATCACTCCATTTTCTACAATTTTCTATTCGTTTAAAGTAATAAAGTAGCAAGCCGAAAGTGTGGTTAGAATTACTTTGACGTGATAAAAGGCATTTCGAAGTTGACAGTTATAGTTTTTTTACCGACTGCGCATGATTTCGTACGAAATCTATTACTTAAATTTCTTTACGTGACAAACAGGATTTTAATTGGTGAAGAAATTGGGAACTAAATTCCGTAACGCATTTTCTCACAAAATTTGGTACGGAATTATGAACAAAATTTTCTATCGGGGACAGCGGCCTCATAAAAGCAATAACTTTCAAAACCCCCAAAACTTCCCATGAAATCTCCTATCATCAAATGATGCCAACATTCTTTTCTCAAATACAGGGTATTATTTAAGTACGTGGCCAAACTTCAGGAGGTGATTCTTTGAGTAATTTTGAGATGAAAAGTTTATACAAATATAAGACCAGAAATGCTCCATTTTCAAAGTAAAGGGTGTCAAATTTTTTTAAAATCTAATATTGTGGGGTTAAGGGCAGTAAGGGGCTAATTTAGTCCCAAGTAGATTGAAATTATTAAGTCCAGTGGGGTCCCGAAAAACACCCTAGCCAATATCTTTGACAAAAAAAATTGTACGCCACGGACTTTTTAAATGCTTTTTTTGTCCCCTGAGTTTCTTTCATATCTCGCTTCGTTTGCGAGATAAAAAATAAAAAGCACTTTATTGCATGCCTCTGGGACAATAACAAACAACGACGATGAAAAGACCTAGACATTTACATTCATTCATAAAACGTCTATCTGAACGTTGACAAGATAAACAACAGAAAACTATATACAGCTGGAGGAAGATGGCGGACAGTCGTCAACTGCCATGGGCGTATCATAATCGGGGTAATAGAGCTATAGCTAGAAATCGATTTTTGTGGAGTTTTTGGGCACTTCAATGAATGTAAAAGTATTATGCATAATGGAATGGAATAATTTGTCACTCAAATAAATTGTTTATGCTAATTATGAATATGCAAGCCGAAATATAGCGTCGAAGTACAATTAAATATAAGTGTACATAAACACAACAAGAAACGGTCAAAACTAGGACTATGAATCAAACCGGACGTCACATGCACTCAGACCAATCATGATAGTGTCGCCAGCGACAGACGAGGCTCTGAAAACTGATGAGCTTTATACATTTATTAACCCGACTGCCTCAGGAGGAATATGTTTCACATGTTTTTTGGTTTGTATGTATATATCCAAAAATTCTGTTTCACGGGCTCAAATGCTTGTTGGATTTTGGTATTCGGATTCGTCCTAGCAGTATGAGTGATACTGGGTATATTAAAATTTCATTGAAACAAAATGGCGAATATTAATAAAATAATCAACCTTGAAATTCATATTTCCAAGGCTGCAGCTTGAACGGTTTGATGGATTTTGACAGAGGTGCCTCTAGATTAGAGACGGTATACTTGACCAATGTGTTTCCAATATTTACTTAAAAATTAGAGTTGGATTGAACAGTTTTGATCGCCATCCATTTTAATAAGATATTTTTTTAAAACAAATCAAACAGTGAAATGGGAACACTTTTTATTTTGACATTTTTACAAAATCATAAATTACAAGAGTTGCTTCAAGCAGCTACTTCACACTCGCCAATTTAACAATGGGTACAAAATCATCATAGGCCATTCCTTGTATAATAGTAAAGAACAGTATAAGAACAAACACTCTAAATCTTATTAGTACTACTTTGCCAGTATTATAAAGCGAATGTCAGACGTTCATTTCATACTCTGATCCGTTAGTATTTTCCAAGGAATGTGGTCGTATTCATTGAACGTCTAGCCTAGCGTATTGATGCCATGTTTTATTGTTGCATAAGGTTATGTGGAAATTCAATCATTCCATCGATCCGGAAGGAAATCTATCAGTAAATACTGACGTACGCATCACAGTATGGAATGAACGTCTGACATTCATCTACGAGGTCTCAGTTATAGCATAATTAAAGGAAAATATGCGAGTTATATATATATATATATATATATATATATATATATATATATAAAGGTAACTTTATATAAAATCTAATTACATATAATATAATCAAAAATATATACATCAACACATTAAGCATAATTGTAAATAATTCATTCAATCTTGGGGTGTTACCTAAAGTGTTGTAGTAATCGTGTTGAGAAATTTGTATAGCAAATTAATTTTATAAGATAGCTTATGTATCCATTTATAACATGAAATACGAAAAAAAAAACAATACATGCAGTCGGGATATTTCCATTTTACTGTGTATTGGTAGAAATTGCGGAATCTTGAATTATTTCAATTACATGCGAAACAGCTGAAATGTAGTCGACCTATACATACATGATCAGTGTCGCCAGAAAATTAAAAATCTACTAATTAGCTATGCATTTTGGGAAAAACAAAGCTTGAACTTCTGCCACCTACAGGTCTACAAAAATGTACATAATTTAAAAATACTTCTCAACCTTAGAATCATATCATAGAATCCAAAAAATTACGAGAGATACAACAAAGAAAAAAATCTTACTGATGGCTGAATAATACTGCCTTCGTATATACACTTCTAATTCTGTTTTTTTTAAACTGTCCGATTTTTTCACAGTTTCGTGATGAATTCTGAGTGAGAAATACTTTTTCAAAATCAGTTTTATCAGAAATATGCAGTGCCCATCAATAGGGTCATCTTCAAGAAGGTGGTGTTCAAAATACCCCAAAATATGTGGTGATATTGATTGTATGGTATTATTGACTAGAATATCCGAGAGATGTTTGATATTTTTGTTAAAGATATTAGTTGTCTTTTGGAAGAAACGAAAGTATTTTTCACCATGGCGGCAAATTTGAATAACTGGTCCTGAGGCTTTTGTCAATTCTCCATAAACTTTTCTTTTTTGCAATGGCATGTCAATATCGCCCTCTAAAGAATTCTTACAATTTATACAAGTAACACATTTTTTTAAACAATTCACCACAAACCCTGCAATGTATGAAACAACATCTTCTGTATAAATTGTAAGATTCCATGCAAAAGGTGTGCACTGGTAAAGGGCAAGATCGTTTTTATTTTTTCTTCAAACTGAAGTAATTCTGGGCTATTTAAAAGATCTTCACCATCGTCCGCCCTGGTTATATGATATCCACTGCCACAAGATAAGATAGTCAAACGCTCTGGGTTATCAACATTTCCTGTGTCTGGGCCAGATATCTCTGTATGCACCAGCAATCGTTTGTATGCAGCTTCAAACTGCCTTGCACTGGGATTATTGTTGTACCCTCCCTTACTACGAATAGCTCCAAAAAAAGCTCTAAATGATCCTGTGATAATTTATTTGTCAAAATATATTTTAAAACTTTCTTTTCTACAATACACAAGTTATAAAACTGTTTCAAGCTCTGAATGCAAATCAAAAATCCTAAAAAACCAGTTTTTTTTGGAGAATGTATTATTGGGAGAGTACCTAGTCGCAATCCATGGATATATTGAACTGCCTCGTCCATGAATTTGAAAAATGTATCTGCAGTAGCTGGAGAAAGTGGGCGCTTAAATAAGTACTTTGAAAACCTGTTACTAGAGTTGAAAATATCAAAAATATCGTTAAATGTTTGAACAAATTTTACGGTACCTTCCACATTAGCAAACGTCGCTAGTTTTAAATCTTTGGATAAATAGGTCAAAGCATCAGCAACACTTCTACTTAAAGTTTGTGTAGCTATTTTGACCCTCATTTTTTCTCTCGTCCACTGTAGATGACGATTTCTTATTTTTGTGCCTAAATGTAAACCTTCGATATTTTGCACATCAACTAACTTCACCAAATAATCCCAACTTATCTGATTGTTTTCAGAATCACCTAAGTATTTGATGGAACCAAAAGCGTTTCTGACTAATTTTATCATGTGGCTTGGGTCTAGGAATATGTATACATTTTGACCCGTTATAGGATGGAGAAAATAAGTCTTCAAGTTTGTTACATCGTTCAGATTTGTCCCTAGACAAGAAGCCATTGTGAAATTTACTGGAGCACCATCGAATGTTAATGATGCTACAGTAACTCCAGAAGTGTGGATGAAGGTTAGGCATTTTTTCACGAGTTCTGCCTTTTCATAACCAGTCAAGCCATCCAACAGAAAGTAACCCACCGGAATTTTCCATGCTCCATTCAAGCATACTAACATAAAAACCAACACCTCCTTTGCTTCTGGTAGAACGTCTGATTCTATGTTAGCCCCAATATCAACATACCCCGTGAACTTACTCCCTGTCCATTCAACTTGTTTCCGAATAGACATCTCATCTAGGACTAAATTACACATAACAGTAGAGTTTTTGGTTGAAGCTTCTCCTTGTTTTAATTTCAAGGCCACAATGGATTCCTCAGTGAAGCCTGGTGAACCATCAATCGACTTATACCATTTGCTTATTGTTGACAGATGGGGTAGAGCAAGGTTAAATGTCTTCCTCACAAAATTGTATGCTCTTGGGGAATAAAAGCTCAGCGTGAGGGCAAATGACCGCAAGGCAGGGTTATATTTCTGGCTAGTACGCCCCCTCAACATTCTTTCAAAGATTTCCAAAGGCATACCAGAAAGAGATGCCTAAAAGAGATATTAAGTATTTAGAATGCAATTAAATCATGTAATCTGAACAGAATGAGTATTTTAAAACTAGTATTAATTACATTTATGCAAGATAAATAACATCAGGAAACTAGGATATTAACACTGAACATACCCATACTCAATTCTATTTCTACCATAACCAGTCTCATGACCTGCTGTGGTTAGATGACGATATGTATACTTGTTGTAACAAGTATTAGTCAAAATAAACAAAATACGAATAAAAAAAGAATATCAAATGCTATAATTAAAAGAAAAAAATCATGGAGCTATATGTGCAAAAGTGATAAGATGATAATGCTTATTTTCAATGAGCAAGATTACAACTGGTCTTCTGACCAGTTATGGTATGTTGAGTGTTGTGTGTGTGTTGTAATGAAAATTATTATATTGAAAAAAAAAGTTGATCAATTGCTCCATTCAAATGAATTCGGGTATCTGGGACACACAGTCTTCATCAATCTGCTTACCTTCAATACAGTTTCAGCTGAATCTGTTATGTGATTATTCTGCTTCAAAAGTTTCAATAAGCCACTTAGAGTTTTTATTCTTCTCCTCAAAGCAGCAACACTTGTTTGGAGACTTTTTACTTTTTTCCTCAATGTCATTAGGGAACTTTTCATCAACCGATAATTTGACTTTGATTTTCTGGGAGTGGAAAAGTCATCACTTGATAAATCTCCAACATAACGTTTTAGCCTGAAAAGGATAAATGTGTCAACTATATACTTTATTCATTAAATAATATTATATATCATTTCATCTTGATACAAAATAGCTAGTAAGAAACAAGTTCTTGTCTCCCTCAAATACCTTCTTTTACGTGGTGTTCTGACATTTCGTTTGGTGACATTGCCTCTAATTGCCAATTGATACTCCTGTTCAGAAGCAGTTGCAGTACTGGATGATGTGAATGACTGCAAAATTTCTGGAGGCTCTACCATCTTAGAAGCTTCATCAGGAAAAGGAATATGACTTGAGCTAAAATATTTTCTACATGAGTAAATGAAATGGTTTAGATTAAGAGAATACTCACACCACATGGGAAGGCCCTGGTATAGCTAACTCTTCCATTATCAATCTAAAATAAAAGGTATACATAAAATACTGGACATAACACATGTAAACAACCAAAATCCTTTGACATACACATGATACTATTTAGATAAGTTTTGACAATAATTGTTTGGTAATGTACTTGAATGTATGAATTGCATTTATTAAAGCACACTTGAAGCACACAGGCACTGACTTATTTTACTGTGCCAATCTGTTTATTTTGATAATAATATGTAGTATAAGCTTATTATATGAGAATAGTTCAAATATGTATAGAACTCTACTCACCGCTTTCTGACAGGGCTCCCTTGACTGCTATGGGCTTCTGAGCTTGATTCCTTTGCTGGAGTAAGTGTCACTGTTGAATCAGAGCTGGAATAATAATGTTTGTTTAAGATACTTATGGATACAATAACAAAGTAAATATTTACAGGGCTAGAGTCTAGAGTAAAGTACAAGTATAATCTTGACACATTTTTAATTCTTCAAACTTTAGATAATAGAAATGCTGAGTAAATATTAATCAATATGAATATATAGGGCAAATGTATCTGTATGCTATTAATAGCATGTCAAAAAAACTCAAAAAAGTAACAAACATATTTACCTTGCATACTCCTGCTCATCATGTATGGAGCGAACATCTACTGGTTCAGCACCATCCTTCAAAAGCCTTCTTCCAGCAGAATCATATTCAAAGTCCCTATCATGAAAATGTTTGCTGCATATCAGTGCCACTTTCGGCAACGTTTTCTCCCAGTCAATGCCAAGCAGTGAAATCCATAAAATGCGCTTTGCTGGGTCAGATGGGAGTCTAAAATTGTAAACACATGTCTTACACCAATGATCTGTCTAATGATTATAAACTAGTTAGCACAAAAATATAATCAAATCATGGCAAAATCACGTTTACTTAAGTTGCATGAAGATTGTGTATGTGGATATTTTTGTACTTGATGAACTACACCCCAGAACATCTTTAAATTGTATCATACTGCTAGTGATGGATATATATTCATATAAACTCGTCAGGAAGCTACAAAAAGTTACTAAAATGATGGTAAAAGACTGTTTTATGATATTTTTTTCAGTAAAATTTGTATTGCCACGCCTATGATATGAAAACATAACCTTACTTACCGATGGAATGATAAATTGGCCGATTCTGGATTACTGCTGTTTATCTTGCACACATAACACGATCGCACCATTGTTCAACAGGTAACAGTTCAATATCACTAACAAACTTATGGCAAATAGCACAAAAATAATGATTTGTGAAAATCCACAACTCAAGCATAAATACGCACTTTATACTATCGTAAAATGTCCATTCATAAGAAAAATGCGACGTTGCCAATGTCGACTGAAGCTCTGTGACTGAAGGAAATCTCTTTCCAATTCGCTAACGGTAAATTCAATACGAAAATAGTTCACTTTTCTACTTTTCACTATTGCTTATGCAGATTTTCAAGAATGTTAACAATTTTATTATTTTCATGAGTGCAAATAGCTGGTTTACACGATGAAATATTTGTTTGAGGTTTGTTTACTACCAGGTTAGGAATTCTATCAGCTAGTAACTGGCAACATTGCAATTCCCTAATATTTATCCTTTCAACGCGTTTTAGTGTAAATAGAAAGGTCTAGGTCTTTTCATCGTCGTTGAGATGCACACATCTCACAATAGGAGTTATTGAATTTTAATTTTAAACAAAATACATTTCATTTTCCAGGTTAGAAAAAATTACCTATGACAATGACATTGACATTACAAAACAGAAAACATATACACTGAAGAAAGCATAGTCCACTGCTATCCGTAGACGAACACGGTTGACATATGTCACTGTCAAGCGCCATTTTTTTGCAAGTCGTGTTATAGCTAGATTTATGCGACGATTCTCATATAAATCTAAGTCTGCTATACAATTTGCTACATGGAAGATTTTATAACGCCATGTATGGTATTAACAACAACACATGCGACGTTGCCGGCATCTCACATAAATCTGAGTCTGTTATACAATTGTATACAGGATATTTTCAATGCTATATGGAAGATAACAGACAACAGATAACAGGTAAAAGGTGGTAACAGGTAACAGGTGGAAACATATAACAGATAAAAGATAAAAGATGACAGATAACAGATAAAAGGTAACAGATAAAAGAAAACAGGTAACAGATAACAAATAACTGATAACTGAAAACTAAAAAATGAAAACTGAAATCTGAAGAATGAAAAATGAAAAATGAAAAATGAAAAATGAAAAATTGAAAATTGAAAATTAAAAATTAAAAATCAAAAATCAAAAATCAAAAATCAAAAATCAAAAATCAAAAATCAAAAATCAAAAATCAAAAATCAAAAATCAAAAATCAAAAATCAAAAATCAAAAATCAAAAATCAAAAATCAAAAATCAAAAATCAAAATCGAAAAATCGAAAATCGAAAATCGAAAATCGAAAAATCGAAAAATCGAAAAATCGAAAATCGAAAAATCGAAAAAATCGAAAAATCGAAAATCGAAAAATCGAAAAATCGAAAAATCGAAAAATCGAAAAATCGAAAAATCGAAAAATCGAAAAATCGAAAAATCGAAAAATCGAAAAATCGAAAAATCGAAAAATCGAAAAATCGAAAAATCGAAAAATCGAAAAATCGAAAAATCGAAAAATCGAAAAATCGAAAAATCGAAAAATCGAAAAATCGAAAAATCGAAAAATCGAAAAATCGAAAATTAAAAATTGAAAATTGAAAATTAAAAATTAAAAATTAGAAATTAGAAATTAGAAATTAGAAATTAGAAATTAGAAATTAGAAATTAGAAATTAAAAATTAAAATAGAAAAATTAAAAATGAAAAATTAAAAATTAAAATAGAAAAATGAAAAATGAAAACTGATAACATATAAAAGATAACAGATACCAGAAACCAGATACTAGACACCAGATACCAGACACCAGATACCAGATACCAGATACCAGACACCAGACACCAGATACCAGACATCAGATACCAGAAACCAGATACCAGATACCAGATACCAGACACCAGACACCAGATACCAGACACCAGATACCAGACACCAGACACCAGATACCAGATACCAGACATCAGATACCAGACACCAGAAACCAGATACGAGATACCAGATACCAGACACCAGATACCAGATACCAAACACCAGATACGAGATACCAGATACCAGCCACCAGAAACCAGATACCAGATAAAGAGATAACAGATACCAAATACCAGATACCAGACACCAGATACCAGATACCAGATACCAGACACCAGACACCAGATACCAGACATCAGATACCAGATACCAGTTACCAGATGCCAGACACCAGATACCGGATACCAGATACCAGACATCAGATACCAGACACCAGATACCAGATACCAGATACCAGATACCAGACACCGGATACCGGATACCAGACATCAGATACCAGACACCAGAAACCAGATACCAGACACCAGACACCAAACACCAGGTACGAGATACCAGATACCAGATACCAGCCACCAGAAACCAGATACCAGATAAAGAGATAACAGATACCAAATACCAGATACCAGACACCAGATACCAGATACCAGATACCAGACACCAGACACCAGATACCAGACATCAGATACCAGACACCAGATACCAGATGCCAGACACCAGATACCGGATACCAGATACCAGACACCAGATACCAGATACCAGATACCAGACATCAGATACCAGACACCAGATACCAAACATCAGATACCTGATACCAGATACCAGATACCAGATACGAGATACCAGATACCAGATACCAGACACCAGACACCAGATACCAGACACCAGATACCAGACACCAGAAACCAGATACCAGATAAAGAGATAACAGATACCAAATACCAGATACCAGATTCCAGATACCAGATACCAGACATCAGATACCAGATACCAGATATATGATTCCAGATACCAGATACCAGATACCAGACACCAGATATCAGATACCAGACACCAGATACCAGACATCAGATACCAGACACCAGATACCAAACATCAGATACCTGATACCAGATACCAGATACCAGATACGAGATACCAGATACCAGATACCAGACACCAGACACCAGATACCAGACACCAGATACCAGACACCAGAAACCAGATACCAGATAAAGAGATAACAGATACCAAATACCAGATACCAGATTCCAGATACCAGATACCAGACATCAGATACCAGATACCAGATATATGATTCCAGATACCAGATACCAGATACCAGACACCAGATACCAAATACGAGATGCCAGATACCAGATACCAGACACCAGATACCAGACACCAGATACCAGACACCAGATACCAGACACCAGATACCAGATGCCAGACACCAGGCACCAGACACCGGATACCAGATACCAGATCCACACACCAGATACCAGATACCAGATGCCAGACACCGGATACCATATACCAGATACCAGATACCAGATACCTGATACCAGACATCAGATACCAGACACCAGATACCAGATGCCAGACACCAGATATAAGATACCAGACACCAGATACCAGATACCAGATACCAGACACCAGACACCAGATACCAGACATCAGATACCAGACACCAGACACCACACATCAGATACCAGATACCAGACATCAGATTCCAGACACCAGATACCAGATGCCAGACACCAGATACCAGATACCAGACACCAGACACCAGACACCAGATACCAGATACCAGACACCAGATACCAGACATCAGATACCAGATACCAGACACCAGACACCACACATCAGATACCAGATACCAGACGCCAGATACTAGACACCAGACACCAGATACCAGATACCAGACACCAGACACCAGATACCAGACACCAGATACAAGATACCAGACACCAGACACCAGATACCAGACATCAGATACCAGACATCAGAGACCAGATACCAGATCAAACATGTCAAAGGATAGAAAATGATTAGAGATAGGGATAAAGTATATATCGCTAGCATTGCATACCATACCAGCAACTGCGCTACGGGTACTTTTAAATAAAGACATCAACGTACAATATTTGGCATAGCGTTAGCGTGCCAGCAACTGCGACAATATTTAGCATAGCGTTGGCATGCTAGAAACTGCGCTACGTGAGGTTTTAAATAAAGACATCAACGTACAATATTTGGCATAGCGTTAGCATGCCAGAAACTGCGCTAGTCGACTATATTAAGCGGTGATCGATTGTTTTGGATTGGTAGTGATTGGTAGTGGGTTCGGAAATTGTATGACGTCGACGCGGTTTTCGCGGTTTTTTAGGAGGTTCGCGGTACGTTCGGAGGGAAAGAGGTACCGTTTCGGAAAGTAGACGGTCGGCGCTTTACGGGCGGGCGAGAGCCGTCGCGGCGAGACGAACGGATCGGATCGAAAACGGCCGGTAAAGTCGAAAAATCGACCGTTTTTCGGACGGTACGCGGCGTTATTTCACACTGGTTTCGCCGTTTATCGAAATATCGACTCGAGATCGGTCTCGTTCGATAGCTAAACGAAAAATACGTGCCTATTAGCTAAATCTGTTCGGTTCCGCGTCTCGGTTTTTTTTCTAGAAACGTTCGAAAAAAAAGCGACAAAAATGACGAATCGCCTTGAAAACTACGATATCTCCCTTATGCCGAAGAGAAAAGGAATTTCGCGTGCCGCGTTTCGTACATCTCGGCGAGCGCTACAAATTACGCGGAGAGATGTTTTTTCGTTTACGGTACCCGTTCCGAATAAACGAACCTCGAACGTCGTCAAGAATGACTTTTTTGCGTATAAAGCGCGCTGCTTCGCCGTAAATCAGCTATCTCCTCCGAAGATAAAGGAGCTACGAACCTGACGATTTTTGCGTGAGAAAGCCCATGCTTCGGACACTCTTTTAATACTATTTTCATCATCATTATTCGTTTACGTTGAAAAGTTTCGATTTTTTAAAAATTCCTCGACAACACGCTACTTTTCGACGCGTGAAAAAGTCACCTTGTCATCCGGCTCTGTCCTCGCTTATTACTACCGTACGTGAGCGAGTAAAAATTATACAGCTATCGAAAAATAACGATAATGAGCTGACGAAACGATTCTGACCGTCAGAATTACCGTCAAATTTCGAAAAAGTAAACTTTGAGCGCCTCAAAAGTACCGATGACAACCGTTTTTTCGGCGTACTTTGTCTTCGTCGATACGGACCTGCGTTACGGAGCGACGTGGCTACGATTTTTTTTCGCAAAACGAAAGGCCAAAGTCTCCTGATTAAACCGACATACGACACGTTACCCGATCGCATTTTTTAAACTCGGCAGATTAGAAAATTCAAAGATATGCACACATTTTTAGTTTGAAGTTTCAATTTTGAATTTCCCCTCCAGATCCCCGGATTCCTGTTAGGCGGGGTATTGTAGATACGATCGTATTACGAAAGCGAGCGAGTGCGAGCGGAACGTCAAAAACGTGCCATTTTCGGCTTCATGACTATCGCTTCATCCAATATTGGATCACGCCAAATAGATTTGTCCTTTTTACGCGTGAAAATCAACATTTTCGAAAAGATTCAAAATTTTTATATTCCATTGTCTAAACGGACCGGACTAGAGCCATTAAAATCGGATGAATCTAGTAGTTTTTTATTTTTACAGATTGCGATGTCTACCGCCAAAGGTTGCAATTATTCTTTGACGTTCATCAGTTTATTGAAATCATCATCGGTTTATAAATACGATAAAAATATGATTGTAAGCCCCTATTCATGTTATAATTTTACAATATGGCATAAAGCTCCGCTTTTCTAACCGATTGATATAAAGCGTATGTCTGATTGCATCACATTGCATCATTCTAACCTACAATGTATGAATGTAAACATTATCGAAATCTTAACAATGAGGCTCCCGTTAATAAGGATTAATTAGAAGCTTAGAACAAGCAATCGCAGCTACAAATAGTGAAAGTGTTGTGTGAAGTGTTTACAGTTTATGTGTTTCTATTGCAAACGTAAGTAGTCAGTCACTTCTATGAAGTTCAGTAAGAGTTCAGTCTTGACCCTCAGTTCAGACCTATTAGCTGGCTAACAGTGGCACATATTATCAAGCAGATGAAAGAATATGCAAAGCGCTGAAAAATAGCATTGATAATCATATCTACTACCAAAGTTTTCAAAATTACTAAGACTTTCACAGCCACTGCAGTTGTTTATTTTGATCTCAATGCAGAATGTATGTACTTCGATTTAGAATGTAGCTGCTTTAAGGACTTGTCACTTCCAAGACTTGTCAAAACAACAGACACCATTACTTGTCAAAAAACTATAGCACTTGATTTCAAATTTCTATTCTGTTTTTAAAGATGTTATTATTATATGTCTAATTTCAATGATACTCACATCTGTCCTGTTTCTAAGACTGATCTTAATCATAGATTACAAAAAAAATCATTATTGAATCAGAGGAAACAGATTACAAAATTTGATTTTCAAGCGATACTATTACTTACTGTCCAACAACTATAGTACTTAATAATTTCAAGCTTCTGGTCTAATTTTTTGAGATGTTATTATTATATGTCATGTTTCTAATTGATTGATCATAATCATACAACATTAAAAAAAATAGAGGAAATTTTATTTTAAGGCGATAGCACATTTTTCTCCAGATCATAAAGCGAGCATTGTTCATCTGCTTCTGTTGAATTTTTCCCAAACGAAGAACTTTACCACCAACAAACTCATAAATATTGTAAAAACCTTGTAGTAGTAGTATCTCACCTGAGTAGTATGTATAAATGGAAAATAAGTAAACAAACTTGTCATCTATCCCTTCGATTGGCAAATATTATCAAGCAGATGAAGGAATATGCAAAGCGCTGAAAAATAGCATTGATAATCATATCTACTACCAAAGTTTTCAAAATTACTAAGACTTTCACAGCCACTGCAGTTGTTTATTTTGATCTCAATGCAGAATGTATGTACTTCGATTTAGAATGTAGCTGCTTTAAGGACTTGTCACTTCCAAGACTTGTCAAAACAACAGACACCATTACTTGTCAAAAAACTATAGCACTTGATGATTTCAAATTTCTATTCTGTTTTTAAAGATGTTGTTATTATATGTCTAATTTCAAGGATACTCACATCTGTCCTGTTTCTAAGACTGATCTTAATCATAGATTACAGAAAAATTCATTATTGAATCAGAGGAAACAGATTACAAAATTTGATTTTCAAGCGATACTATTACTTACTGTCCAACAACTATAGTACTTAATAATTTCAAGCTTCTGGTCTAATTTTTAGAGATGTTATTATTATATGTCATGTTTCTAATTGATTGATCATAATCATACAACATTAAAAAAATAGAGGAAATTTTATTTTAAGGCGATAGCACATTTTTCTCCAGATCATAAAGCGAGCATTGTTCATCTGCTTCTGTTGAATTTTTCCCAAACGAAGAACTTTACCACCAACAAACTCATAAATATTGTAAAAACCTTGTAGTAGTAGTATCTCACCTGAGTAGTATG